AGTTACAGTTACAGTTACATTGTTTTATTTTCTTTTCTTTTCTTTATCATGCATCAAATAGGTTCTTCTTTCTCTTAAGCCAAGCAAGGACTATAAAACAGTCTTTTTAAGCAATGCCATTAAATAAGGTAATTACTTACTTACTGATATGATAGAGCACATAGGTAGTTTTTTGTTTATAGACAGTATAAGCTCAAGTATGTGGGAAACTTGGAATCGAGCGCTTTTCGCTAAAAGTATGTACCGCAAGTCATTGCTATGTAAATACTATGTGTGAAACTTTGAGTAAAAGGTTTTCATGACGCTCAAAGCATAAAAATCAAATTTATTATTGTGCTTGGTCTGTTGTATCTTTTTAACGAAAACAACGCCGTAAGCACTAAAAGCCAGTTAGACTAATTTATCAACACTGCTTTTCACCCTTGACAAATTGTCTGTATGAAGTGATAAATAGATTTATTAGACACTAATTCGCTTTAAGTCGCTAATCAATCATCTTAGTAGGGAAAAGTTTATTTGCGTGAAACGCTTCATCGGCACTGAGTAATTTTCACAATGAAATTCAGTTGCTCCGCCTACTGCAAAAGGTTTCATTCTACTTTACCATTACCCTCGTGATTCCTCCGTCAGCGATGGCCGAAACGAAAGCGCTCAACGAAGTTCTTTACTATCTCCGCGATAACGAGTATCCGATCGATTTTCGAAAGATCAGAAAAGAATTTACGTAAGAAAGCCCAAAAATCCTCTCTTGAAGATGGTGCGCTGTTTTTTCAATGGCCAGAAGAACAGTCAGCCTAAAAGATGGGTTCACAGCCGAGACGAGCAGCAGCAGACACTGAAAGCTCGTCACTCTGACAAACTCGTCGGGCACTTTGGCCGTGACAGGACGAGAGAAAAGGTTTGTACTAAATTCAGTGATGCTTCTCTTGATCTTTAAAATTGTGGTTACAATTTAATTTATCGTTCTTAACTGTTGTGTACCTGTTTATCTTCCAGGTTACATCTCTATACTATTGGGCTCGATTGCTGAAGGACTACAATGAAATTGTCAAGCGTTACGTTGTTTGCTAGAGAACTTCAAAGAAATTCGAGAAGCCTTCTGCCCAGCTACACCCGATTAAAGTAAAGGACACTGTGTGGCATCGTATCGGTATCGATCTGGTAGGACCTCCGATGGCTCCTGATTCACTTTAAATAAAAAAAATGGATAATATCGCTCCTGCGTACCTGTATATACTCGTATGTCAACTCGTATGTAGCTGTAGATGATCGTATGTCACTCGTATGTAGCCATATGTAGCCGTATGACACTAGTATATAGCCGTAGGTCACTCGTATGTACTCTTATGTCACTCGTATATAGCCGTATGCACTCGTATGTGTCCGTCTGTCACTCGTATGTTACTCGTGGTGCTCGTGTGATGTTTTATTAGTCACAATGAGTATGCAATAGTGATTTGTCCTGGTGTTATATCGTCATCTCTCTCTCCGGGTAAGCTGGTAATTGATTTAAACTATAATGTCGACAGAACATAAATATATATATTTTCAAAGCAGAACTTTCGAAATTTCAAGCTTCCCTGATAAGTGAAAACTTTTCCCAAAAAAAGTACCTGAGTGAAGCTAACCTGCTAACATTAAAGGAATTTTGGCACCATGTTGAACTTTATATCTATCTTCATATCATTTTTGATCCAAATCAAAATCCTTAAACATACCAACTATTTTTTGAACTCTAGGTAATTAGTTGGTTGACGGCTCGATATGAGACCAGTTTTGAAATCAGCATCTCGTTAGTTTAGTTTTCTATATTAGTTATCGAGTTATACTTATAGGTAAAAAATCCATATATTGAACAGCGTCATACCCCACCCACATCTGCGGATGTTTAATCCGCCTTGTTCTATTCCTATCTCCTCTGTACACATGCCACTTAGGTGAGGCTTAAATCAGTTCGGGTGCGTACGGCCCGTCAGAAACATTAGTCAAGTTATATTTTTTTAATCGAAGATCGTTTTTGGTAAGGCTGATCGACTGATTTGCTTCGTAAAATCTTTAGCTTTTTTTTAATTGTTTTGTTTTGTTTTTCGGTTTTTTTTTGTATCAGATCAGAAGACAATTTATAACCATGAAAACGCTGGCCTTTTCACTTTTACATCTGTTAACTGACTTCTTCCTCACTAAAGGACATCAATTACAGATTTTTACTGTCCATTTAATTGGCTTTTCAATTGTATTTCATACAGTTCTCTGATTTCCTTAACTATTGAAAAAAGGTCGTAACGGGCCTCATCCGTATTAAAACTGTGACTTCTACGTGTGTAATATTTTTAAGGACAGCGTCATGATAGATCGATATGGCGAAATTTTCGCAGTACAATTTAAAAAAAAAGTCTGGCTTTCAAGGACGTTCTGTCGAAGCGGCTTAGTGCATAGAAGAAGGGTCATTTGTTTTTGACATTAAACCAAAGCAGGTTGAGATTGTGACTTCATTCTTGGGAAAACAAGCACTAAGACGAGATTAAAAAGATTCAGATGAAATACACGATGGTGTATGGAGAACATATTATTGCATTCAATTTAAGGTTAATTGAATGGATCAACTACGCGTATATGACCTGCGATAAATAGTCATCCAAATTTTTGTATTACTAATTTTCTAATTAAAAAAATAATTATTTCTGTAACAAAAATTGTTGTTTGGAGTTATAATTAAAAACCGTTAGTTAGACAATATAATTGTCATGTTCCTTCTTTGAGTTAATTATTCACATCTCACTATCTATTTTCAGGTGTCCATTTGTTTTCGTACAGTGTTTGTCAGCTTTCTCCAATTACAAATCGAACGACAGGTTTGAATTCTGACACCATCTATCGGTTTACATCAGTTCTATTCTAAGTTTACTAGAACATCCGTTATACATCTCACTCAAGCCGAAGACGAGAACCTTTCAACTCAGTTACGGACGTAGCTTTTTGTAATTGATGTTCATTACTCAGTCAAGGCATCAGATGCATCTAAAGCAATAAATTTGAAAATTTCGATTTAAAGTTTGAACTTCTTACTTTCTATCTTATGTGCTGGTATCACGGAAAACTTTGTTAATTAATATGGGTCAAGTTTAGTTCTGGGCCTCCGTTTCCTGTTACCTGACGTAAAATCTAAACAAGTTATAGCGTAACTGACAACATGGTACGCCCCCGTTTAAGTGCCTGTTAAAGTTTGTTTCAGTATTCGTACACGCACTCGAGCCCAGCCCACACTGCGCGGGATTGTTTGCTGATTTTACACCCACGTGGTTTTTTTATAGAAGTAAGTAAATAACGTAGAAGACGCTGCTAAAGATGGAAGTGTTAACCAACAATCGACGAAACAGCAAACAGAGAAAATATAAAACTTTTACATTAGCATCCTAAAAGTTTTCTATTTAGAAAATTTCCTTATCCTTTACTTAGTAGTTTGATTAAGATTTGAGCGACAATTTTTAACATCACTTTCCAAGTGATTTAGAGGAAAACCTTCCCGTACATTTTTAAAATTTCTGCAGTCAACCTCACCAAAATTTCCACATTTTGTTTTAATAGCTGATACCAATAAACTTTTTTGAGCAATTTTTAAAACTATTTTGGCGGTATGTTGGTTCTACATTTCTCGGAGTTCATTTCTTGTGTGCTTCGTTGAATAACAATTTAGCACATTACGAGCATATCATCCCATCTCACCCAAGCAGCGTGTCCAATAAGGAAATAAAAAGTAAAATGCAGTTAAAAATAGGATAAAACTGATTAAACTTCCTTTCGTGTGGGTGGGTGGGGCCATGAGTATGCTTCACCCTACACGACACGAGCTCTGGAATTTAATGAGCGCAAAAAGGTATAAAAATCGTTCCCAACCTCGCCAAAATTGACTTGAAACTCCCGAGCATAAAAGAACTTGGAAATCACGGCCTTGTGAGTTAAAGGTAAGAAGAGTCATAGCTTTACAGTGCATTGATACAGTGCCAATTTGAAAGTCATCTACGGTTCCCATTGTAAATTGTCCACTGTCGTTTGGTGGCGTTCTTTTTCAATCTACTCAACTCCATTTAGCCCTGCCGGCGTTTTCTGAATCGCGGCTATATTCAAACAGCATTAACACGCCAAGAGCGGAGAGAGAACACTTAGAAAGCTAGCAGTTGTTTTTATATTTTTTTTAGAGGATTAGGAAGCTCCTCGATTCCCTTTTTTCAATCGCTTTTCTGAACCGTTTAACTATGAAGTGCTTAGCTCTTCATGGTACAACCAACCTAAAAACACGTTTGGTAACGAAAAAAGAAACTACCATCCTTTACTGCTAACAGTGTTATTCACTGACTCCAAATCTTGTGATACGAACGATATTTTATATATTTTAAGATACGAACAAATATTTTAACTTAGCAAGTGTAGTCAGGCTTTTCGATGCTTCTACAACGTGACTTGGGTTTGTAATTATTTCTGGATAATCAGGACTCTAAAGAAAACACATTACAGAAGACAAGCGGAAAACAAGTTAGATCTTCGAGTGGAAACTACAATGGCTGTTGTTAGAGAAGTAAGGAAATACAATCATGGTTTAAAAACATAAAGTTTTAAAAGCTTACTCTTAGACCTAAAGGGTCAGTCATTTAAACAAAGTTTAGCCGTTTCGTGACAAAACCGCGTTCTAAACTAACTTGAATTTAGCTGAGTCTTTCATCTGAACATTTATTGTTGCGATCAATGTCAAGAGGACCGAAAGCTAGCAGGACAAGGACATTAATGAAAACAACCCTCTTATAGAGGATAAGAAGGCTCACTACTTCCGTAAAACCGCTGTTTGGGTTAGTCCTCGTGTAAATGAACGACCCATGATTTTCTTCTTTTTGATTGAAAAATTAGGATAAAATATTTTGAAGAGGCCGAATTTCATTTAAACCATGAAACAGTTTGGCTTCTCTCCGAAATTTTTGATAGTGATGTGATTTTTAAAAGCCACCAGTTTAATTATGGTTACGTATTGCATTTAATGTTCAGATACTCTTACCCATGGCCATAATATTGGGCTCCCTCGCCTTGGCTTCTCCCAAACCTGTCTTTAATAAAGAGGAAGACGAACAGCCATTCCAACATCAATTGTTTTTGTCGCAAAATGATGTCCTTGAACCCCAGGAGCGCATCATCGATGATCACGTCTGGGGTGATGAGATCGACGAATTGGTGAAGTACAGAATTGCACATAACCGTACGGCTAGAAATGCCCATGGCTGCGTTTCAAAAAGAGTGACTAAGTTTGATAAATGTAGAAACAAAATGGTGGCGGAGGTCATTTGTCGTTCAATACATCCGGCGTGTAACCACGTGATCCCTAAGCACTTTCGACCAAAGTGTGAACCAGTAATGGGCTTCTGGGAAGCCAGTTTCATTACCAAGTGTCCCCCTCTAACAATTGCATGCCAATGTGCCAGTTAATAAAGGAACTATTACACCTTGAATTAAAAGTGACCATGAACTGATAATATGCGTTATAAAACAGTTATTAGAATTGAATGAATATTAACAAGCTGGTCTTGTAAAAAACATCTGGTATGTTTCTTTAGAAATAAATGAATTGTGAAAAATAAAGTGAGCTAAACTTAGGCCAGTAAATTGTTTTGACTGATTCATTATAAAATAGGCTCTGGGAAAATTAACTCTTATCGTACCGATTATTAGCCCTAGAAATTGTTTTCATCTGAACTTAACTTTTTTTACTTTGTAATCTTGGTCTTCACAAGGGTTTGCAATCGTTTTCGTGAACAGGTTTGATGTTATGAATGCCTTAGGCTGTTAGAATTTTCGAATTTTGAAGAAAAGTGAATAAAAACTGTAATGTAAAGGAAAGAAGAGTTTTGTACGCTGTTCCCGTAATAAACTACTAGAAAAGGTAACCATAAACCTCATTACCATTCCAAGGATAAGATTACAAAGAAAATAAAATTTTTGCAGGAGTCAACTGTGTAAGTTTCCTTGATTATTGTGTAGCTTCAGCGTTATTTCGCGGTAAATATTCCAATAATATTCAACTAAGGTTACGGTAGCTTTAAATTTGTGGCACAAGACGAGCTGAAACGAGACAGACTTGGACAGCGGAGAACCACGCTGGTAATATCTGCATCGCCGGGCTGGTTATCCTGTGGTTTTGCAATGTAGCACAATGAAGGTAACAACATCACACCAACAGCAGTAGCAACACATTCCGTAACATCCTCCAAGTTTATTGGCAAAATTATTAGTCCCTCATCTGGATTCACAGCCATGAAAATTTCTTCGTTTCGATTAACTTGGATTAATAGCAAATGCTCCGTCTTTCGCACTTCACACCAGCCTTGCTTATTTCCAAGTCTGAAAAATTTGATCTGGACAATGTTTCGCTCTTCATCCAGGGACTGTTCGTTGGCTTGCCTCGTTCCCATGCAGACTGCCCAGTCCACTTGTCCTCTAATTAACAGGGCTGTCTCGCTGTCCGACATGCTCCTGGTGATACATTTGGATGGGTCTTCTAATGGTTCCAAAGAGCTAGGAAATACATTGTTATCGATCATTTGAGCTGAGGCAACGGTATTTCCATCACCATCAACGACTTCTAATACCATGACTCCGGCTTGCTCGGCGTTCAAAACACGGCATGTGAATGCACCATTTCCACTATAGCTGTACACTCGATAAACTGATAGTTCGCAAGGCACCCTCTGTTTCGTGAGTATTTCACGCCTAAGTACCGTTCTGGGAGTTGAAACTACATCTGCAGGATGCAAAAATTTCGCAGACTCTGGTTCTGGACTAAGAGTAAATCTGTAACTCAGTGGTTTGGGTAAGCCACATGTCTTAATGGTAATGTATGCTTTTCTATTAGCAGGACCAAACAGTGGGATGGGTATTCGGAATATGTTCTCTTCTGACTCCATTCTGATGGCAGTTTGTAAACAGTCAGCTAAGTCCACAGTATGGCACAGCTTTGGAGTCTTGGAAAACAACTTCTTTTGATGGAAGGAAAGAGTGATGCTGGTTTTATCATCCGTATTAACGAAAAATTGAGCAAGTGGTTGGTGATCTCCCTCAAGGATGTGACTGCCGCCTTTTAACTTCTTTTTCCAAATAGCTGTTTCATTATCAAGCTGAAGCGCGAAGGAAAATTTTTTGTCATTTTCAAAGTTTTCTATCTCAAACTTCGAAAGTTCCATTGCAAACTCAAACACTGCCAAATTATGAAGAATTGCCTTGGTTTGAAATAGAAGAGGCGGGGGACACTCACCGCGAAAGATGGCTCCAGGTCTTTTAAAAGCCATGTCGTACTTGTTCCATGTTGCTTCAGTGTCACTTTCAAGCGACAGGTGTTTGGAAATTTCTAAAGCACCAATTTTTGTTTGGGGATGTTTAAGGACATATCCAAGGAATTTCCTCGTGTCTGCTTTATATATTGAAGGGTGAAGAAGGTGCGTTTTCCAGATGAGATCAACATCACAACATGGCACCAAATTACTGTCCGGATTCTCCTTCGTCAGGATCAAATGCTGCTTGTAACGTCGCAAGGAGGACATGAGAAAGAATGAGTCTCTATAATGAGGAAGAGAGGTGTTGTGGTATAGGTTTCGTAGACGACAACAAGCCTCTTGTAAATCGCACTGGAGGTTGCAAATGTACTTTGGAACGGAGCTGGGAAGCTGTTCTAGATCCACCTCGAAAGGTTCTGTAGGGTAAGCTTTCTCCCAAAGTGTGCGTGCTCTAAATAGGGCTTCTTCTCTCTCAAATTCGGTGCTTATTCGATGATCGACTTCTCTGGAAACAATGTTTCTGCAGTCCTCTTCATAAACATCCCCATTCAAAATGTGCGTTTGCCACACCCATTCTACATCTAATGGAGCCTGGAGTTCTCTTCCATTGACGTTGGCGCTCTTGAACAGGGGTAGCCATAACATCTCATACCTTCTTATAGCGTTTTTGAAAAGTGAACCTTCAAATAGGTTTGGATAATGGTCTACAACCCTCAGAAACTGGAGTTCATTCAGAACTGCATCCACAAAGTCGATCTGGGAGGAAAGATCCACTTCACATGTACTAAGGCTCATTTTCCTGCGGTAAGTTTACGAAGACATCGGATGAGTTACAAGACAAGCGACAGATAACGTCGAGACTAGATGTCTTTCCATTTACAGAAACGTAGAGATAACGCATTCATTTACACAAACGTTTTGGACCATATTATCTTCTTATTTTTTAGTGCCATGATTAGAGGACTACGCAATATCACTTTGCTGCCTTCCAAAGCAGGCCTGCTTTCAAAGAAATACTCTTAGGATTCTCTGAAAGTACGGCCTCCCCCAGCTTGGGCCATTGCTCAAGACGCGGGACATGAGATTGGCTGTCACGCAAGTTTTGACTGAACAAAACCTCGTTATATTAAAGGAACCTTGTGTATTTCCACAAATATGGAACAAAATGATTAATATTCCCATACCATATAATAAAATTTATGTTAGATAGAGCTATTGTATAAATGTAAAGAATTCTAAAGCGCTATTTGCTCTTGAAAGAAGGTCAAAATGTTAGGCATTTGTGAACCTTGATCATATTCCAATGAAATGAACAGTTCCTAATTATTATCACTCGCTTCTATCGTCAACTACCGTCCTTGGTAGCTCTAGAACAAAGACAAAATATCGAAGACATTTTTTCTACAAAAAACGGTCGAAATTGTTATATTTGCACTTATCCAAAGTGTAGAATTTGTCTCGGGAAGCTGTCATGTCCCAACATGTCGGGTCGGATAGGTTTTAAGAAGAAATACTGGTTATTTGACTGCAAGGTTATATGTATCAGATCACTGTCCACACTTTCCTTTCACAAATTACCCAAACAATACTGTGGATGGGCTTACCTTGAAATACTCAGGAAAAGTACGACAAACACTGATGAGCGCTTTGGTTTGAATTTTAAGAACCTTATCATTCCCCTTCGTTCATCGCCGGAAATCTGAGAAGCTAATATTTAACGCAAAAGTCACGCAAGGACGCGAATGTTGAAATCCCTTTTCTCCCTTCCGTTTCTCCTTGCGGAGGGAGGGAGGGCACGGCTACACGTATGCTATGCAAACCATCGCCTTTAAATTAGGGACTTGTCAGAAATTAGCAGGGGGGGAGGGGGGGTGGGAATTTTAAATTTGGGTTCGGAAATTAGGTGACCCATCCCTGCAATGGGAGTGAAATTTGCTAACCCTCCCCTTGAGCTTGGCCTAAAATATCATGACCCTCCCCCTCTTGTATAAATGATAAAATCTAGTTCTTGCAATACACTAGGGTGCGTCAGTATTATGAAAACTCAAAATATATTTCTAATCTGTTCTTTGTCATGCTACATACATACATTTTCGATGACAGCATTAATTAATTAATTAATTAATGAAAAGTACATGTTTGTTAAATTCTTGCTATAGTACTTCACAGTTTATATCCATAACGTTCCGTAAACCGTTGTATTTTTCTCTTTTTTTTGCCAAATAAAGAACTTCCTTTTTCTTCTGTGGGTGAACCTCTACATGATCACGGGCATATATTTGCATGACCCTCCCCCCTAACTGCCCATTTTTCATGACCCCTCCCTTTTCTGAGGCTCAAAAAGTTGTGACCCCCCCCTCTGTTTCCACCCCCCCTCCCCCCTTGCTAATTTCTGACAAGTCCCTTAATCCCTGTGAGCGAAGCGCGATTGTGTTACATAGCGCTATATGTGCATATTTACACTACCCACTCCCCCAGTGCAGCAAAATTGTCACTCCAATAATTTTCTCGATCAGTTACGAGCTTTTCCGCCTCCCTTCGGCCAAAGTCCCTCAGTACTACCAATTACTCAGGACTTTTGTTTGGAAAGTTGACCCGGGACAATGGGCCATTTCTTGATACGGAAGTGGTTCGCATTATTGAGCCATCCGTTGCCTTGTTGTTACTCGCCCCTAATTCGGTCCTCCCTCTTTTATTTTATTCCCATGCCTCATGTTAAAGGGGAGAGACACCGATAGTAGTGAGCACCATTGCATTTTCAGAAGATACTTCTCGCCTTCCTGTTTGCTTCTTAACAACCTTCATTCATCCATCTTACAATATGAATTTAGTAAGCGCGCCAATCATTTTAACATCCTCAGGTTTATTAAACCTGAATGGTAGACATATCCGGTTTTTGCGGGTAACTCTCGCAGCCTGCCTTTTTCATCACCTTGTAACTTGTTTCACTCCTGAAGTGTAAGCATGCAGAGGATTCAAGGACAACCTCACCAACTTCTCGAAGCAACAATTCCAAGGATAATTAAAGATGGTAGGGCAGGAATCGGCCGAAGTAAATATGACCAAAAATCTACTGCCTCACTGCCATGGTATATTATTTTTTGTTCGCGGTAAACAATAACAAATCAAGTAATAAACGATAATAACTATGATGGAAGTCCTAGCATAAAGCCAAGATCACTAAAATGACGCAATTTGTGGCCAGGCTAAGATTGTCTCCTTTTTCCGCCTTCCCTTTGAGCTTCATTCGCAAATTCTTCCAAGAAAAGGAAGGACATCCATTAGCTCTATCAATAATTCAGATTCATAGGATTCCAAGAAAAAAAGTTCCAGGGAAAGTTGGCGTTTGCGGCTAAAACAATCAATTTTTAAATGAAGAAATTATCATTCCAAGATATGAGCCAAGAATGGCACATGTTCAACCCCATGACAAGAACAATGATAACATCATGAGATTTCGATTGAAGGTTTAAAAATTACTTATTTATTTTTAAACAACAAAATCGTACTGAATATAAAGACTGCACCAATTTAGTCTCGGTACAGGTTAAATATTGTTAAAGGCATGTTTTTGCCATTACATTTGTATAAAAATATTTTCTTACAAGGACAACGAAATTTTTTGATCACCTAAGTTCACAATTCAAGAGGTCTTACTATCCTAATGCCGGAAGCCAGCTGTTCTGGGTGTCTCTTCCGCGCCACATCCCACCTGGCACGCATGCTCTACTCTTTTAGATTTGCTTTTATCTTTATAACCTTTAATTCATTTTAAAATACATATATTGTGAAAATTAGTCAGCTGTGAACAGAATTAAGGTGCATCTCCAAGATAAAGAAATCAATAATTCATCACAGGTTGGACAACAAACAGAATAACTCACGCATTTCCAAATTTGCCTCTCGATAATTTTATATATATTTGATGCAAATGAGACTCAAATAGTGAATTTAAACCTGTTCTTGGCTAAACTGCACAATACCCTGCCGCTCATTTACATGTCATTGAATAGCGTCTACTGTGTTGAGCCTCGTTCTCCAAAGCCTCACAACACATCTAAATGAGGTGGACCAAAGTGGCAAGGTATTCTGCAGTTACTCCCTGTTCTTGCTAAACTGAGAAAGAGTGGAGCCCCTAACGCTAACCTAAATGTTACTTTCCAATGAATTTCACTACCTTAAACATCAAATCGTTGGTAAGAATGAGATCCCCGTTACATTGGAGTTTAACTGTAATCTGTGTTTAAATGAAATCTACAAAAACCTTTGACCCTTTCCCTTAAATGGATTTCCCAATTTACAAATTAAACTTATTCAACTGATCTCTTCGATTCATTTTCTTCCCTGGAAACCCATTCAAGCAGGCAGCTTCACCAAAATCCGCATGGGGATCATAAACAGCAGGGCACCAACGAAGTAACACCAAAAGGGCCCCACACTCCAGTAGACTAAAAAACACAAGACAGGAAACCAATTGTACCTAAAAATTGAATGATAAATACAATACAAAAACAAACCAGGGAACAAATTGACCTAAAAAAAAGAAAAAGTGAAGGTGCAATTACATACCTGTACAACTCACAAAGGGGCCAATGGCTCGAGCAAATGCTCCAAGAGACCTGAATATCCCCATGATTTTTCCTTTTTGGTCAGCATTACCTTGAAATAGATTTCAAATTTTTTCAAACACCAACACTAATATCAGTTAACAATGAAATCAAAGCACTGAAGGAGGGAAATTTTTCCTCACCATGATGGGAAATCATGGTTGTCAAACATGGTACCACTGTTGCTGAACCTGAAAAAATATGAAGAAAACTACCTTATACTTCCTCTGAAATTCGTATGAATGACTTTGCAGATACAGTCAGATAATGAAGTGGGACAATGGAAGGAACTGATTTATTATCATTGTGATGGCCACAGGACATCCATCCAGGAGATCAGTTAAATAGACTAAAATTAACCAGTAGTGCGGTAAAATGTTACTGACATAAATATATACTTATTATATCTTTTTGTGATACTCAGTTTTCCTCTTAGAACCAAGTTGGAATTATATGAGGACCACAACATTAATAAAAATTAAAAAGAACATACCAAATGCAAACAGTGTGAGCCCCACGTAAAGTGTGGTAATGGTCTTTGCCAAACCAACAATGACCATTGCAGGCATGATGGCTGCCATACCCTGCATGTCAACAAACAAACATAAAAGGAGAAGAGTAAATCACTATTACCATGATTGTATGTATAACTTGTGTATGTTGACTTAGAGAACCATAAGTACCATCAGATTTATATTGAGCTCAAGGCATTCTAGACTGGTTAACAAATTTATTTCATTGAAAGTGAAAGTGCAACTCTCCTTTCTAACAAAATTATATTTATTTCATTGTTACAGTGGAAGCAGACTATTTCCCTCATTAACAAATATATTTCATTGTGAAATTGAAAGCAGACAATTTCTCTCACTAACAAATTTATTTCCTTGTTACAGTGGAAGCAGGCTATTTCCCTCATTAACAAATATATTTCATTGTGAAACTGAAAGCAGGCAATTTCCCTAACTGTTTGCCAGGCATAGCTTTACCTTAAGAGCTGTTTTCTTTTCTGTACCTGGAGTTTGTCTGCGGACATAACCACCTAATTACAGAAAAATAATGAACATAAGCAGAGTGAGCAAATGTCACTTAGTGAGAGTGATCTATAAATGAACTGGTTCAAACAATTTTTAAGGGACTTAGTAATTCCTCTTCTGTCAACTATTAAACTGTATCATTCAGATTCCATTTCAAAGAACATTCATACATGAAGTGAGCAATCTACAGAAATGTTCATTAAGTTCACAAGAATAAGTAATTGCTAAGCTCATTTTTTGAGTTCACAGCAATTCTAAGACCAATCAAAATGCATATCTGACATACATTGTATCATGGTGAATATTAAATGAGACTAGTGCTTTATACAACTAACAATGTAATATGTATTACACTTGTATCCATTAAGGATAACAGTAACATACAGTATCTTGTGTGTTCTGTTTTGCATACCTTGAACAAGTGCCATAGTAATTCCTATGAAGAAAAACATCATCCCCTGTTGCATACTGTAAAAGCAGATCAACATGATTTAAAATTTTCATCCCATGTACATCAAAATGGTAAACCTTCTTTTTAAAAAATAACATAATCTAAAAAAATAAAAGTTCTACATACATCATGGAGTACTCATGAGTACTCCTGAAATGTTTTTCTTAAGAGTTAATAAAAATTATTTATGAGAACCAAGGTAGTTTCCTTAAATCTCATAAGACTTTATGAGAAACAAAACCATGCCCAAATTGTTAATTTTTCTTTCTAGTTGGGATTGTATCTTTCCAATTTCATGCAAGATATATATTCAATAATATTCAACACTTTCTCAGTTTCTATCACATACCTTGAATACTTGAAATTCTTGTGTGTTAAAAATGTTAATGTGAATTCAAGTCCAGAGAAGAAAAAGAGGAACAGAAAATACACCAGTCCAAGGCCACGAACTGTGTTTAAATCTATAATAGAAACAATGTTTCAGCTGTTTATTATTAAGAGGGACCTAACTTAGCTGAACTAAGATCAATGACTTCCTGTTTGTTTAACTGCTGATTAGAGATGAAGATTGAAGGAGCATCTGCTCATTAATGCATATGAAGGCCTCTGTGATCTCAGTGCTTATCTGTGCTTCCAAGCATGATATTAAATATAGTTGATGCCAAGAAATAAATAATTTTTAGAAACTTAAAACAAACTCACTGAATTCAAGTCATCTCCATACAGTACTTTCACATTTTTCTCACAGAGTTTACATGAGCCATTCCTTGCTTGTACATGTACCTCAGTATATTCAAAAATCACCTCAACACAAGTTGCCAATATTATATATACAATTAATTTTTGTGCAGCCAAGTTGAAGTTTATGGTTAGTAAGTTAAAAGGTGTGAGATCATATTACAGTTAAAGGTAGTTTTCCATCCTGTGGCTCCTCTTTATTATTTCCTTTAGATCTATGCTTGATAACTTTTTGTTGTAGTGTCATTTACCTTCTTTACTGGATTGTATATCTACAGCATCAAACTTTAGCAATGATACAGGGTTGATAAGGTGATTGGCATTTCTAAATTCAGAAACCAAAGACTTAGCCTGTGGAATAAAAATGCATGAAACAGATTTACAGATTTATATATATATAAATATATACATACATACATACATATATAATTTTAGATCAGATTATTAAAGATTATCAAAACTAACTGGGAACTTAAGTTTGAAATTTAACTTAAAATTGAAATATATATCTTTCACGTTCTTCCTGTACAGCCTAAGTATTACTGACCTTGAAACTTGGCATGTGTATCATTCCCAATACCTTCTTTCTTTTAATCAATAGAATCAATTACACCTAAATCATAAGTTTTTCCACTGTTTTGAAACTCTATTTTTTGTTACTTTTAAAATGGAAACTAAGGTAAAAAAACTTTATAAAATGCATCACCCTTTTCTCTTTAGGAAGAGATTCCCTGAGGCACACATAGACAAACATCAAATCTGCTACTGTCAAAGTGATGGCAAACAGAGCTGGTAACAGATATGGGTTTCCACTTTCGAGAGATGACCTCTTAGCAAAAACAGCTCCAACAACTGGTCCAATAATGAATCCAAAGGAATATGCAATCCCCACAAGAGCCTGTTAGTAACACAAAGCTTTGTCAATACATGTATCTATGAAGTATACATATCTAACTGTATTAATTTCTGGCAGGGAAAGAGAGTGGGGGCATCAGTAGGACTGACAGGTAGAATTCAGAGGAAAAATTATGACAAGCAAATGAAAGTTAGATAGAAACATTGTCAGTTTACATTATCCTTTCTGACTCTCCCTTGATACCCTCAGTTAAACTTTTTGCAATCATAAAATGAGAACATTTTTTAATCTGTGTATATACTTTTCACACTTTAGAAAAAAATTAATGAGACAAATTAGAAAAACATTCTCCAACCACATTCCCTGCTTCTTATCTTCAGCAATCTTAACATCCCAGAAAAAATATTTTTGTAATACTCTTAACAAGGTAAATTACATTTTTCAGTTTAGAACACATCTTTGAAAAAAGAACCTTGACTATGTGCACACATATGTACATGTAGATAACAATGTTTGAGGCTTAAATGAATGAAATATAAAATCGCTTTTCAGTGTCCCAAAAATGCTTCCAACCTCTAAATCACTAACAATAATAGGTTTGCAGCTTTTCAAGCAAACCTCAATCCTATGTATTCAAAACTATGTTGTAAAACTGAATGTAGAGACAAATTATTGTTAACTAAAAGCTAGTCATTTATCCATCATTTTAAAATAAGTTTCAGCTATTTCTCAAGTCTAAGAAAAATGAAATCATGATAAAATGTCACAACTTTCTGCAAAATTTTCCATGATGTAATTATTATTACCCTCATGAATGGAAAAAGGAACAACCTACCATTCCCTTGCCTCTATTTTTCACAGTGGTTACATCAGTAATAATAGCTGTTGAAATTGTCACATTCCCTTTACACAAACCGCCGATGATCCTGGCTATCACAAAGATGGTGAAGTTCCATGAACATGCCCATACAGCATATGAAACCAATACTCCCACCTGAAATAATTAGACATGATACTTTTTAAAATGTGTTACAGTCAACTACTATGCATAGGATATTGTATCATGAAAAGAAAGAAATACTTTATAAGCATGTTCATCTTAAAGGCATACAATATCTAATAATTATGTTGTGTCTTTCTCCACAATGTAGTAATCAATTTTTTACCAACATCCTGCATCATCACTTGATATAATTACACAAAAAAAACTAAATGTAGAATAGAACCATCATCTGATTGTCTCAATTGACCTAATGACACTTGTACACCAAAAATTGTTGGTAGTAGCATTTTTAATAACTTTTAAACCTTGTGACATACTGAAGCCACAGCTAATGTTGAGTGTCAAAAGTTGTAAATCAAACACAGGTAATTTTTGCATGAAGCCTGCAGCATGAGTTACTTTAAAATACAATTTTATGCTTGCCTTGATCCACAACAAAATCCATATTGAGAAAAAAAAGTTTCTAAAATTTTCCTTTTCAGTAGCAGGGGGGTGGGGAAGGGAATGGGGGATTGTTTACTGTACAATAAATAGACAATGCATGCCTGAGAACTGACCTGAAAGACAATTCTTCCCAATCAATTAAACAAATGTATTCTTCAAAAGGGGTTAGATTGAGCAATCCTTGTCAAATTTAGCACTAAATTCAGGGAGAAAATGTAAAGAGCAATCCAAAAGAAACAAAAAAGGGACATATAAGGATAGAAAAATTTGGAAAATTCATCATCTTGTGTCTTTCCCATAATAAATTAAGCACTTAAGATTCAAGTTCAGCTTAACAATTTAATTTTCCACTAAAACCTTTCTATTTTAAGGAAGGCAAAGGGTTTGCTCACCATACAAAGCATAAGTGGCAGTCTCCTTCCAAAAACATCTGACATTGCACCAATCAAAGGACAACAGACAAACTGAAGAAGAGAAAACAGTGATCCAAGGAAACCTACAAAAATAAAATAAAAGTTCCCCAAGCTAAGCTTAAATAAATATAGCCGATTATGACATTTATAAAAATTAAGAAGCAATGTAACACCCTACAGAAAATTTTCATGGAACATTTTTTAACTCTTTAGTCTCCAAGGGTGACTGACTTCTAATTTCTCTTTGCAGAATTACCCTTGAATCATAAGTAAAGGTCATGAGAATGAAGGAAATGATCCCTGACTTAAGAAACTCCTGATTCTCAAACACATTCTCCATGTCCGTATCATAGGAAGAGTAAGGAGAGCAGTGTGAAGAATATGAATGTAGTCTTTGAAAAAACTTATGAGTGCTTATATACACCAAATTCCACTCAAAATCATGTTGTTACTTGTGAATAAATTACAAGAAAAAATGTCATAGAAAGTCAAGACAGACATAATTTTGACATTTGTAATTTGTACTCATGTTACATGAAAAATGCACCTGTTTTCAGCCAATCAGACATACTTAATTTTTGCACGTATATTACTAGCTACTAAATACTACATGTGTACAATCATGCTGCTTACCTCCAAACAGTACAACATTGAAGCGTTCAACATCTGGCATTCCTAACAGTTCTCTGAATGTATTGACTCTTTGCATGATTGCATGATATAAACTGTCCTGTAGGGATGTGAACAATGCATCAGTTATGTCATACCACAGAGAGTGGTACAAGGTGCATGTAAAATATTTTTTTCAATTATGTTGCAGACAAGCCAATTTTACAAATAATTATATTTTCTGCAATTAACTATAACCAAAGCCAATAAGCAAGAAGTGTCACTATGAAAGTAAAGCATTATAATAATGGTTTTTCTTGTTATTAACCTATGTCCTGTTGTTGATAAACTATCATTAGATGACCAACAAACAAACAAATTCAATTAGCACTGCTTTCACAATATTTTTGAACAGTTACATTTCTCATGCATATCTCTTAATTATCAGTAAGTCTCAAAATTCTGATGAAACTCTGAAAGTTCAGGGTAAAATTAATTTAAGAAGCGGGTTAAATCTTTCAAAAAAAATCATCTGTAGCTCAAAATTTCCAAATGTATTCACCAAATTTTAGCTATTTTCATGCTAAGATTTTTGAGCCAAGTTTGGATGAGGCTTGATCACTTTCCGCAATTCATCACTGTCATTGGATCTTGAAGAAAAATTTGTCTTTTAAAGTAGTTTATAGGTCATAACTGAGACGCTTATTTCCTTTCATCAAAAACTTTTTCCCAAAGTTACCCACATGTAGATAACATTGCAACAAAAAGCTCTTTTCATTCAAAAATGAGGTGCTAACTTAAAAGAATTTGTTGACAAAATATAGCAAAAAATAGTTTTTTCCGCAAAGTTAGGTCAATAATAGTGGAATTTTTAATTTTTTGTTTCCGTTTTTACTCCTTTTGAATGTCACTCAAAAGATGACATTATCATTTCTAAAACAAAGGGCAACTTGGTTTACCAATATCAAGGAACTTCTATTGTGACAGTCATGGACACTTTTTCCTCTTTCATTGTAGTAGCGATGAGAAGTTTTGAATAAATTATCAATATGTGTTTATTTCAAAACAAACAGGAAAAACCAGCCAGTCTCAAAATACAGCTGAAACTCTGTAAGTTATAGGTAAAATTCACTAAAAAATCAGGTTAAACCTTGCAAATTGGAATTACAACAGTTATCTGTATCTCAAAATTTCCCTTCCATAACATAACTGCCCCGTAAATGTATGTGGAATGAAACTGTGAAACAAGAACTCAACAAGGACTTCATATATATATGCATAGATCTAACGTGAAACGTAAAAAGTGAATCAGTCCTACTTTACCTGCTTGTTGTTTGCATAGAACTCCAGTAATGATGGAAAAAGCGGTAGAATGACTGTAAAAGCTAGGAGGTCGATGAGAAGGGAGAAGAAAACAATCCATACTGTTCGATCTGATGACAAAACTTTAGAGTTTTCGGATTCATCTTTCTCTTTATCAGCTCTCTTATCTGATAAGTTTGAAGCCCTGTTTTTGAGCGTGTTCGTCTCCATAGCGTGCTGTCGTGCCTCGCCGAAAGAAAGACTTCTGTTTCACAAGTTAACGTTTCGTTAGCATTGAAAAGGAAATGACTGTCCTCTGGTGTTTAAAGCTTTGTGTATAGTGTCTCGGTGTCACGAAAGTTTGACGTCAATCTTTGTTCAAGAGATGATAGGGTCAGTCCGCCGCAAATGAGTTGTTATATATTCATAAGCAATATCAAGTTGTGACTAAGCTTTCCAAAAAAGACTGATGGGCCCTCTCTTAATTGGGAAAAAACATTGGACCGCTAAAGTGCCATGCGAAGGAAATCCACCTTTACCGGCAATACAGAGCGGTGGGTGCAGAACCATCAGGCGTTCCATGTTTGGCATGTTGCAAAAAAAAATAAATAAAAAAGAGCCCCGAGTTCACCCGACCAATCCCGAACTTCATACGAGCACTTACAGAAAAAAAACTTGCTTCAGTGCTTTCTATTAAAAAAAAAAAATTCGATTGAAGCGTGGTTTTAATGATCACTCGCTAGTCCAGCATTTATCAGTAATTTAGATCAGCAAGGTTACAGCAGGTTTTTAAAGTTAATTGTGGTAGTCGGGGAAACTCGGAGGCCTGTGTGGGAGGTACGATCCCATGAGGCCTACCGGCGCGAAAAGGAAACGGAAGACACACACAGTCACTAACTGCACACACTGTGCTCGACAATAGAGACAAGACCACAAGATATGGCCAGAAATACATGAGTATGGGAGAACATCTAGTGCCTGTGTTGTTTATAACAGCAAATGTGGGTTCAGTGTTCGAAAATGTGAGTTATATTCCAGACATTAATGATGTTATTTGTTGTTCTTTAATACCGTTGATGTTGTCAATGTCCTGCTTGCCTTTAGATTTGATGCACGAAGATTCACCTCGCCATTTACCTTACTAATGCTCCAAAATTTTAAATAAACTTCTTTTTTAATTGCGAATTCATAATTAAATATAAAATGTTCTTTATTGCGTTGGTGTCCAACTTGTTTACAAAAGGAGGCTCTCAACTTTATTCCCATGTTGGTAATTATCAACAACTTATACCTGATAATTTTGTTGTTTTCATTGTAGCGAGATGGTTTGGAGGAGCGCTGGATTCGAGAAACAGTGACTGTAAGTAGGCTATTAGGGGTCTCTGAACAAAAGTGAAAGTCGAGTTAACTTTTTGTTCTTTTACATGCATGAAATTTGTAAAATCCACTTTGCGAAATTCTTGTGGTATTATACTGTTGATCGATCTGTGCAATCTTTTTGGGATTCTCATTGGTAGACTGTAACAAGATTCAAGCCAAAGTTCGTAGCACTTCATTTTCAAGAAAGTGGAGGGAAAGATTCTGGCGAAGAATCCTTAGAAAAAGTTAAAGAATTTGTCCGGTGAGAATTAATCAGAAGATGTATGCCCTCAATTTCTGTTTAATGTGAAAATTTGTTGTGGATATATTAGCAGGACTTTGAAAGCGAATTGTAATCGAATCATTTTTGTTATGTGATTTAGGATCTTCATCGATCAATCACTGCTGAAAGAAAAATTCGACAAAGTGCGAGCATGGTTCGATCAAGATTATCGTACAAAAGAACAATATACGGTGAGCACTATTCAAGGTCCAAAGAAATAATTTTTACTGTTCTGTTTGTCTCGTTTAATAAACCCTAATTACCAGGATGAAATTTTATTCAATTTCTATTATTATGAAAACAGATTGTACTGTCGCGAGTTGGGAATTTTGTGGCATTTAACTTAAACGAAAATCAGCGTAGTGCTACAGGCATGTTGGCTCTTTGTCAGTTTTTTGTTTTGGTTTCTTCACTTGTAGAATAATTGATGTTTAAAGTAATTGATTAGACACCACAATTTATCGTGTTTTTTTTTCACGAATAAGTTGACGGTTTATTAGTACGGGGGCATCAATGACTGCTCCTATATTGGAAAAAAAGAAAACATTTAAAAATTAACAAGCTTGTAAATCCAATTCCATCATCCTTTGGAGCTGCTCATGGGTTTGTGTACATAGAGCATAAGCCTTTATTATTTTGAATTAAATTGTGTTTGGATAGCCCACCTTTAAACCATGAGAACTGTAGCAGCATTTTGTACCTTTTGCATGGAAAATGTTTCATTTTAAACATTATTAACTTCAGTTAGAAAAAAAAAAAAGGAGAGAGAGAGAGAAATTATTGCACATTTTCTTTAATTTATGACTGTTTGGAGTAGTTCCTGGCACAGTCTCAAGCATATCAAGGAAATGCACTGTGTTAAAGACTTTGCTTTGACAAGGATTTAAAGGGATTTAAGGGATAGAGATGTACTACTAGCTCATTGCATTACTTCAAATCAACCATCTTGGTTTAAGTCAGAGAATAATACTTTCTCCTAACCCTCGACACTTAAAAAAAATTATGTTTGAAGCTGAAAATAGTTGTAACCAAGGCATGACATCTATTGTGTTGGTGGAAGAAATCTATGCTTATTCTAATGGAAAGCCAAAGATTATTACAGAATTTTTAGATGAATTGCAGACATATACAATCATGCAGATGATTTAAGATATCCCAAATCAATACCATCTTACAAGCTAAAAAAAATGCTTATCCATAGTTATGAGTTTTTCAATCATATTTAATTATATTTATTTGAAATTGTTTTAAAATACCCCACAGATCAAAGACATGTCACATTGTCTATGCTTTTTGGTTTTGCATACCCTGTAGTGAAAGATTACCTTAGAAGGGTTTGTTATTGTGATATTTGTTGAACAGTTTTATTTTGTAAACAGGCTCTTGGCTGTATATATCTGGTAAGCAAGTCTTTAGAGGATGTGTTTCTCTGGAATTTCAAAGGTAAATCCTCTCTTTGATGGCAATGTGATCCATTTGGTGTGAAATAATAACTCACCTCATAAGAAAACTGTGAGTTTAAGAGAGTTGAACAAAAACTTCTAAAAGAAAGTAATTTGATCTTGCAGAGCTACTTATGGTAATTGCAACAGCACATTTAACTATTCAGGCAGTTATGTAAATTTTATACCTGTAAACAATTATTTTGATCTAGGAAACTCAGTGAGGTTGTTTTTATTTCTTTTTTTCACACTTTTAAAACCTGAAGAATCTACATTCTCCAAGGTTGAGGGAGAAGAGGTGAGTTAACATTTCTGCATAGAGTTTATTTACCAAAAGCTTAACTAGCAGTTGAATCTGGAATCTTTTTACCATGTAAGTACTGGCTAAGCTACAGAAGCCAGTCTTCCAAAAACTTATAAACTGATATATTTTGATGTACCATACATGTATTTTGCTTGAAATGCATGTGTTGTTGCATAAGATATCAATAAAGGCACACTATCAGTATTGATAATTATATTGCTTACAGGTGTATAATGATAAAGATGTAATTCTATTTGCATAATTGTAGACAGAGTTAACTTAAATTTCATGAGAAATTGTAAACAGAGATTGTGTCATGCAGAACAGGAACACATGTTACCTTAGTAAAGTGTCAACAAGCTCTATTATATTCTTGGCTCCTTTGGCATACTATATACTGAATAAACTGTAATTTAAAAATTTTTATTATTAGTCACCTGGTAAGAGTATTTTTGATCAACTAATCCTTGCTGGTTTTAGATACAAGTGGGAAATCTGACTGATGTCCCTATCCTGGAGAAAGAAAAATTTCCACTGGATTTTTTCCCCCAGGTACACTTTCAATAGTTCTTTAATTAAAAGTCTGTACAAGACATAATTATTTTGAATTTAATCACAAGGAAAGGGCTTAAACAAACCAATCAGGTCATAGATACAACAAAGGCATCACTGTTTACATGCTGCATTGTTACTCTATTTCACTCCATGGAAAGTGAAATGAGTTGTTAAAGTGATTCCTCACAAAAAAAAAGTTATTCAACAATTTTTGTTTAAACTTTCCTCAAATGTTCGCTACCATTATCTGTTTTGAAAAATACAATAAAAAAGATGTGTCACCATGCTTGTTTAGGAGTTATAATGGGTCAAACTTACCCCATTTATGCCTGTACTGGCACTTATCACTCATGTCATTTTATCAGTTCACTATATATTTTGCTGCAGCTGGAAGCAAGGGTTTTTAAAGTAATACTTAAAAAAAAACTTATAAGGTTGAATATCTGGAGTGTATGGAACAAATTGAAATATAATTTGTGGGAAAGTTACACAAATTTAAATGACATTGACTCAAAATTTTCCTTGAGTCATTCCTGTCCAGGTCATAATTTGTATCATTGAATTAAGGGTTTTGCGCACACTTTTAGCTTTATCTTTTTCCATTTGAATAATCTTTTTTTTATTTCCCCCATTTAAGGGGGATAATTTGTACACCAATTTGTAAGGTGTGCTTGTTGGGCCCTTTTGGCTATCTATCATGTCATATCCCAGGGGCACTTGTGGAATAATTGTTAAGTTTCACACTTAAACATTTTTTTTTTATTGTTTCTGCAGTTCAAATGGTCACGGAAGGGCTTCATGAGAACAAGGTGGAAGATCAACAAGTGGTAAGATCATCAGTTTATTTGCACATGAAAGTTATTTTGGCTAAATCCTCTGAGAAATTCAAAACCCCAGTTAAAGAATTGTAACTTATTGTTAAACAAGGTGTTTCAGCTAAATACAGCCCTGTACTGTATGGCTTGCCACCATCATCAAATGCAAATAATATATAGATTTAGCCAAGCCTAAAAGCGGAGCTTGCATTTTTTTTCCCCGCATGTCTCAAGGGCACAATGCCTTGCCCCGGCCAGGACTGGAACCCAGTTTGTCCATCTCAGAGCCTAGTGCACTGACTGCTGGACTACTGAACAAAGCCGTGGTGTTGGTGTGCCCGCAGTACAGTTGACCACGCATGTTAAAAGTAGCACTTTGTACGGTCGCACGGTCGTACATCCAAATTTTTTCAGCTTCATGAGTTACTACTATTTTGTATAATTATGGGACTACGCTTTGTGAGCTCTGCTATTAAATAGTTAGCAGAGACTGAGAAGGCAAAACAGCGATATGGCTTATAGCCCCTGGCTTTTAGAAGTTTTGGGTCATTTATAAAAAGTATGGGCCATTACAGTAATAGGGTGGGCTATATCTTGTGTTCTGTGAGTGGATTTTTTGATATGTCATATCTTTATTTATGTGCCATATAAGTATGATGCACAGCCTTCCCAATCTCTGAGTTAGTGAGAATGTATATAGAAATGATACCATTATATGACACTGGAATAGTAACTTGATGAGGAACTGCTGGAGATGAGTAGACATTTCTAACAGTTTCTATGCAAGTCACTGTTAGAGTCAGAGAAATTGTTCATTTAGTTCTCTACATTCCTTCCTTTTTCTTTACACTTTTGTCCATAGTTACTACTGGGTAATTCGTTTATTTGCATTTTTCAGTTTGATGTAACTTATCATAACTAGGGCACCAAGTTTTACTATTCTTAAATGTTTGAATGAAATATTCCATGATTTGCAATTATGTTCTATGATTTCTGGTTCAATTTACATGAATAAAGTCATGTTTGTCATTCTGTACAGAATCATGTTTTTATACAGTTTGCTCTGTACTTTATTTGACAGTGTGTTTGATTTACTCAATATTCACCTTTTTCATGATGCTTCAAACCTGGTATCCATTGAGGTGGTAAGTTAGGTTTCACTGATCACTTTCAACTATTAGTTTGTTGTATTGATGCTCAAATTGAATAAAAATGAAAATTTAGTTTGTCCTAAGATTGATGGTTATTCTCTTTTTTATTTTTGTATTACAATAATTATTATTTTTTAATTATCAGACTCCATCAGTGTACAGTAAAAATCGCATGAGAGCTCTTGATCATGTGTTGGACAGGTGAGCTGATCAGTCATTTTTTTGTGTACACTCTAAGCTAGATTTCACTTGGTTTTGGCATGATAAGTATTACTTTTTATTCTGATCTATAGTTCCTAAGGAGTTACTTTGTGACTTTAATATCTGAGTTAATTTGTACTGGATGCACTGTTCATCTCTTGGTTTTGGCAGAATGAGTATTACTTTTATTCTAACCTATAGTTCCTTAGGAGATACTTTTTTTGCTTAAATCTAAGAATTGGAAACTTAATATCCACTGGCTGCCTTATGGTTTCAGATCGAGACCAGGTACCAATACATCTTTTTATGACTGGGCTCTTTGTCCTGTTTTAAATAAAAGCTATCTCATAAGAAGTGGATTTGCCAATTAAAAATAAAAAACCCTCATGGTGAACAAGGACAGTAAGAAAATTTATTGAAACAGATAGCATGAACATATAGCTGAAACAGGGCTAAGATTTTTTTGTAAAATGCATTTTGTGGTTTTGACAGAATGAGTATTACTTTGATTCTAACTGATAGTTCCTTAGCAGATACTTGGTGACTTTAATATCTAACTTAACTTGTACTGGATGCACTGTTCATCTCTTGGTTTTGGCAGAATAAGTATTACTTTTTATTCTAACCTATAGTTCCTCAGGAGATACTTAGTGACTAACCCTAACTGTCAATCCTATTTATCTCTTGGTTTTGGCAGAATAACAAAGAGTTCAATTCCTGTAGTTCCCCATACATTATTTGGTGACTTCAACTTCAGACTTGACAACAAGAGAGTGGTGGAGGTACAGTATAGATGTTATGAAAAAAAATACATATATACAAGCAGTTTAAGTGTGCACAAGATACTCCAGCCTTTCATTAATGCACAAATCATAATATACTACCATATGACTGCACACATAGAGTCCTGTAACTAACCATGATTGGCTATATGTGGTGATGCAATTGGCTTAACCATCATTAATTTTTTTGGATTTTACAGGCTCTCTGTGCTGGTCTTCCACAGCAACATATCAGGAAGGAAGGTGAGAGTACTCCTTCAAAGATCATCTACAGGGACAGAAAGAAGGCTGATAAGGTAAATACATGTAGATTGTGAATATTGAGCTGACACAAGGTAGTTTCCCTTTCACATGGCTCACATTTAGCAAAAAGGACAGAATACTTTCATTGATGCTCTGTAGGAGGCTGAGATTTTATTGCTGACAGAATACAGGTACACTAGATCTGGACACTTTCAGATTATTATGATTGTACCTCTGTTGTTTTTAAGTTTGTTTGTTATGACTGGCTCTTTTTATTATTACTAATGGTAAAAATTATGTTTTCATTATCAATTAATGAATGGCCTGAATGAATGATGTACTTTGTTTTTTGATTTTGTTTTTTTGTTTGACAGGTTTTCCTTACACTGGAACCTCGAATTTTCAAGTTTCATGACCAAAGTATATTTCGATACCACAATGGAAAGAAGTTTTCAAAGTACAACAGAGAATTTGATGTCTTCAAAGACAGACTGTTTGAGTTTGATATTTCATTCTATCCAAGGTAAAAGCTATTACCATTTAATAGGTTGTATATTTAACCAGTGAAATGTATAAGGCATTTTATTAAGTTAGAGGTGAGTTGTGTGAATCTTGCTGACTAACTAATTAAATCTGAAATGTACAATGTCCAACTTTATGATTTTTTCTTAAGTGTAGCATTTTGTTAACATACACTGCTCATGTATTACTGTTTTTTTTTGTCCCTTTGCCTCAGGGAAAAATGTTTTTGTGACTATAGTATCAAAAGTCCCCCTTGTTTAAAAAAAATAGGGTACAGTAGCATCAACATGATGAAATATTTCTTGTCTCTTTTTTAATAGCTATCCTTTCAGTGAAAATGTAAAGGATACAACAGTATATAGTGATTCAAGGTACATATTTTCAAAATCTTTTATGTAGTGTAAAAAAGAGTGTTTCCTAAATCAGGTCAGAAGTGTTTCATCTTCATCCATTGTGATAATTTCGCCTTTGAGTACTGGTGCTGTGCAAGTGTATTTTTTTCCTTGTAAAACATTTTAACAAGTCAGAAAGTATCAAATACACTGATGAACCAAATCAGTGTTAAGGAAACCAAGATTTCTCCATTATTTTTGCAGAAAAATGAGATTGCTGTTCTTATTAATGTTACTTCCTTCTGTGATATCAAATATCTCAGGTGTCCATCTTGGTGTGACAGAATATTCTTGAGTCACTCAAGCAGAGCCATAATTAACCAGGTCAGTTTTCATAATCTTTACTAATTAAGTAATATCTAGGCTGTATTTTCTATGCTGGGAGAACACAATAGTTTTTGTGTATTCTCTCAAAACCAATAGGAAGAGTGGTCTATTGCCTTCATAAAATCTACTTAAAATAAAACACATTTTGTTTTGATTTTCTATGCATTTACTAATGCAATAAAAAGCTTAATGATCAGCACAGGAGAACTTGTTCCAATAGCAACAGGTGTGTTTTCATAGTATGTAGTAGGGTAGATGTGTTACTGTACTCTACTTGATGTTTAGACAGCAGTCTTTGGATGACACAAATAATGGCCAAGAAAATGGTTTAATACAAAGTCAGAGTGTTATTCAATTCAGCTAAATATCAATCATATCCAGCATATTGATCACCAGAGCTGAACTGTTCAAAAACCAATTCCACTAAAACCCTGGGCTAGCTGCCATGGAAGTTAAATGTTGATTACTTGAGTGCTAACTGAGCTTCAAAGAACTCACCTTAGTATTTGAATGAATGTTTTGTTGTGTTTGATCAGAGCAAAGGTTCATCAGTGGTGTATGACATGATGGGTAAACAAGTCTGTATGGGAGACCACAAGGTACAGTATCTGTTTCAGCCTGAATTATTCTTTTTAGTGGCTTTGGCTTTTTATCAATTCTGTCATTTCTTGTGATCCTTCTACAGCCTGTATTTCTATATTTTAATTTGGATTCTTCTCAAGACACCCTTTCCCAAGGTTGGTAAATATTTAACTTTTGCTTCAGTTTGAGTTTTTCCAGGGAGCTGTTGATGTAAGTCATTCAGTTTGAACATAGCACTCCTAATGTTTTACTGGTCTACAATTCAACACTTGCGCACTTTTTAAAACCTCTTACAGGTGGACCTGGACTTGTCAGAAATGGAGGACCTGTTGAAATTGTAGAGTATTTAACAAGTGTTTAAGGCTTCACAATTTTCTGTCACATATGGAGTTTAAACCATTCATAATTATGCTCTCCATGTGCAGTAATTCAGTGTTAATTAAAGTCTAAAGCATATTTAGTGCTCTTTTAGCCATTAACAGAACTGACTACATTGAAGCAGATGAGATTTGACACCAAGAACAGTTTCTGTTCTCAAAATCAATAAATTTTCTTGCACAAAGGTGATGTGAAGAAAGAAACTTAACAATTAGGGATCTTATTTGATCTGATGCTTAATATCAGAGCTAAAATTATAAGAAATTTATGGCCAAAAGTTTAGAAAATTTTTATTCAGATTTTAGGAGTAAATCGGTTTGTGAGTGGATTTTAAACAGTTTTTCTTTGCATGGGAAGATTACCTGAGGGCTCTGAAGTTCAAACATAGAACAAACCGTAGATGGGAAGACAGCATAACCAAAAAAAAATGAAGAAATAAATCTAACAATGCCTTAGATTATTAATGTTTAAATGATATGAAGAATCATATAGTTATGAAGAGGAACAAGATTGTGCCTGAAGAGGTGTAGAAGTGTACTCACGGCCAATGCTAGTGTGGAAGGCATTAAACAGGCTGGGGTTGGGTTATTTAGGATATAGGTGCATTCTCTTTGGTTTCCCCCTTTTCTTTGTTTTGATTATTTTCACCCTGCCTATTTTGTTTCTTTTCACACCTTTAGACAGACTAGTGAAAAGATATAAGTCTTAAAGGCATTCATACTTTGCAGAATTTTTGTTTTGTTTTTGTTTTTTGGCTTCAATCTAAGGATTGGAAACTTAACATCCTCTGGCTGCCTTATGCCTACGTTGGTTTCAGATCGAGACAGGGTACAAATACATCTTTTTGTGACTGGGCTCTTTGTCCTGTTTCAAATAAAAGCAATCTCATAAGAAGAGGATTTGCCAATTAAATGTGAAAACGTTTTGTTCTCCACTTTCTGCCTTCCTCTTAACCCTCATGGTGAACAAGGAAAGTAAGAAAATTTATTGAAACAGATAGCATCAACATATAGCTGAAACAGGGCTGAGATTTTTTTTGTAAAATGCATTTTGTTTTTGTCAAATTTAATTCAGAAATAACTTCTTGTATATAAAGGCCAGTTTTCATTCAGTTGCACAAACATATTTGAAATCATTGATTAAGTCCGGTTAATCGGACTCCAAAGATATGAAGCGATTAATTACCATTTCTACCATTCTATTTATGTAGAAAATTCCATATACGTTTAAAATTACTAAAAATGGATCTTTTTATTGGTCATTCTTGAATCATGCAGGTGCTTTTTCACTTAGTCATTAGCAGAGGTGCAAAATATTCAAGAGCATGAAGATGTTGTGATTCAGTATTATAAGACGTAATCTTGGTATATCTTGTGTATATAGAACAAGTATTCGGAAAATAATAAAATCTTAACATTGGGTAACATTGCTCCCGTTTATGACTACATTCAACCCATGAAATATACCCGTTAGTCCAAGGCTCCACCCAACTATTCGAAAAACCTTCTAAACGGCCAGGGGAAAAGGGTTTATTTATTTCAAAATGGCGGTGGTGGCTGCACAAACCCAAGTCCACGTTAGGTGCGTGTTTTTCCTCAGAGGAAAGAAGGTTCAGAGGTGATTATTCATTGGAAAAGTTTGGCAGTTAAATGTATCTAAAACCAAGACCGTAATGAAGTTAACTCGGAAGTTTTAGACGTAGTCCCTCTTTTCCATATTGTTATGAAACTTTCCAGGCTTGAACGAGAAGTAGAGAGCCAAAGGAAAGATGGTTTGCTTCCTTTGCAAATTAAGTTAAGTATGGCACATCACCCAAACATTCGGTAAATTTGATGCTAGGGTAAGCACTGGGCTTATATCCAGGATCGATGATTGCATTCAGAGGTGGGGCGGGGTCGTGTAACCAAGAAAGAGGATGGATTGAAAACTGTCGAAATAAGATACTACTAAAAAAATGTAATTTATCTCAGCACAACTTTAAGAACTCAGGACTCTAACAGTCGCCTTGACCCCAGCTCTGTTGTCAAAGATTAACCGACGTGAACAGCAACTTTTTATTCGTACTCTGACATGGATGAACAAATGATAAAAGAATTTTTGAAAGAAATAAAAATAATAAACCACGAAAAAGTACAGCCATTTAGAAACGGTGAATGGTAGTTAAGCAAATTGGTTCCATTGATAGTTCTTGAGTTTTGGTTTTTCGTAAACATCATGACAAAGAATTGGTAGGGGTACCAGTAATTTTTGGGAAACAAAATAAAATGGGCCTGTAACTGAAGGCAAAGGGGATTGTACGGTTAGTTGGATATGCCCTGTTACTTGACCATTAGAAACCAGTTTAATACTGATACATACACAATACTTAATGTGAGCAAGAAATTGTAAATGATTCTCTGGAAGTGTTTATTCATAATCAGGTTCTCACAAATGAGTTACGATTCTCATTTTCCAATTCTTCTGATTTAATCATTCTTTCGTAGCCAAGCATGTCCATCAAATTACCACAAACTTGCTCTACTGCTGTAATTAAGCTCAGTGGAGCTTTCTTCCACTTGTTTATAACCAGCGAAGCGTCTCTATAAAGTGAATAAGGATCCTTTTCATTATTTTTGTGCGGTTTTTTCTGATGTTTTTCAATCCATTTATCAACATTTACAGACCAATCAAACCCTGTAAATTTGTAGAGATCCTTTGCTATTTTTGTTGTATTAATAACAAAATCTTCGAAGCGTATCACTCGAAAGCGATTTTTTAGCCATGAAGGAGAAGAAAACATGCCAAATTTAATGTTTCTTTCAATGTAGGTACAAATTCTCTGAAGAGTGTCGCGAAATCTTTGAAGTGATTCACTGGTCACATTTAACCATTGGACTGAGTTGACCATGGAATATGCCACAGCTCTTGGATCACGAACTAGGTGAATCAGTTTTGAATTATATCTCTGTTGCTGGAAAATTTCCTGAAAACTTTCCAGAGTGTTGTTTGGTAAACGATGAATCAAGATCTTGAGTACAGTATGTTTGGAGGAGTGACAAACTTTGTTAAGTAATTCCGCTGAGTAAGGCAGACACTTTTTCCTTTTGTTTTTTGTTGGGCACAAATGCCTACTGCTCAGTGATGCACTTCGCATCCGAAATATGCTATTAGATAATGCAGACATAATGTCTTTAGGGATCTGAGTGAAACTGCAGTTGAAAAAGCTATTGATTAGGTTGATAGCAGTTTTGCTGTACTGAATTTTTCTCTCTTTGTCTTTGTACAAATGGAGTTCATATATGCCGCGGGATAAAGTGTGTAGCGGCTCAAACCAATACATGATATCAGGATTAGCATCAAATACTCCTCCTAAGAATGAAGATCCTCCTCTGCCTGGGCTCAATATAATGAGATTAGATCGCGGAGTCCTCTTGTTAAATGTGTTGATTTTAACAGATGGTTCAGTTGATTTCTTAATACCAAGCGTGGTGAATAATTTCTTTGTTTCTGTTTTTGGGTGTTGTTCTTGTTTAAAACCTTGCAAACTCAGTGGAAGTTCCATCTGACTGGAGGGTTTATGTGATTTAATACGCGGAGTCAAATTCCATGATGAGAGAAGAATCAGGGTGTTCAAAACAAACAGGGTCACAAGTACACCAAATGTGACTAATACCACGGTCTTCTTCATTTCGAACTCAGGCGTCAACCGTCTCCACAATTTGTTATATTGTCACGTGTGGTGATGATTACCTAAAAACATAAAGATAATATAAGAATATCGTTTTTTTTTTAATCCTGTTTTCAATTTTTGTAGAAATCTTGCCACTTTGTCGATGAACTTAGGACCTAACCAAACACTTAGTGCATCTGCTAACTACTATTACGATATTTATCAATATCCGGACTCCATAGAATCCATTCCCATTTTTCTCTCAGGGGGCGCAGGGTTAGATGCGTTTTTTACCTGCACGACTTATTTCCATCTGTCAATCAGAATGAATTAAAATTTTTGCATTAAACGTGGAGTTAGGTACAGATGGCTCTCGTGGTATTGAAGTAATATGGATGACTTTGGACTGCTGCAGCGTAGAATATTCGGTTTATTAGTTAAAAAACCATGTTCTCTTTGGATGCGAGACTTTTCATCAAAACATAATGTCCCATTCAGTTAATTGATAGAAAGGGGTTATCGAAACGCCAACACAGTATTTGTAAATCGTGAAGCCCAGCCAGCTATGTGTTAGTAGTTCAAGTCAGATATTTTTCCTGCAGTCGGTGTTTGCGCAAAACACAAGAATCTAGAAACAACTACGGAATCAGAAAAGTCAGGAGTAGAAACAGGTGCAGAACAAATGAAGAAACAAACCTACCCTAAAAGACAGCAATGGTTGTAAAGAATGATCAGCAGATATAAATAAATACTAAACTGTTCCCACGTGCTGGAACTTGATGAAGGCCACTGCTTTATAGTTGTGCTCTGACAAACTACAACGAATGCATCAATATACTTTGTATCAGATAAGTAGCCTTGTCAAATGATGCTAATACTTAACGACAATGACATGATATCAGACAAGCTGTGAGTCTAAAACAACGAAGTTTGTCAGGTTATTTAGTTGTCGTCTGTGATCACTTAACTTTAACGTTTTCCTTTGGATGTAAAATGACGCATGGAAGACAAAAGGTGTAGTTAGAAAACACTTCAGCCAACTAATATTTGAATAAGAATTCATGAAAGCATCGGAATTATTATACAAGTTTGTTTTGATGTGATATGATGTCACTCTTTGAAACAACTATGAATAGAACAGTATTTCAAGAGAGAATCACGTAACTCATTCAGCATAACCTGCTACACGAGCTAATAAAGTTAAAACAGTTTAACAGCTCCTATAAAGGAGCTTAGATACATCTACGGTAGGTAAACCTGCCAAAGTCGTTGGTAGCCTCTCCATCTTTTTAAAGTAGACCTGTGGCTGTTTCCTGTAATTCCTCTTGTATTCCTTGCAAAGGAATAGAGCATTATTAAAGCCATTTGTGCTTGAAAAGTATCCAGGTGGATTTACAAAGATAAGAAAAATAATAAACTTTAGGTTAAAATGTACATGAACTTACAAAAAAATCCCATGTTTTGGCCAAACTTTGGACCTTCGTCAAGGGGAAATGATAGGATTATTTACCACACGTTCAATATATATGAGGAAAATGCAAAATTGAGCTTACTAATTCAACGGCACTCCTTCGTAAGATGTTGTGAGATTGCTTGAAGAAGGAAGGGACAAAGTATGAAGAAAGTTCAGCAAATGCAGCCTTTGGCGGTTTTTTACAAGTGCTATTTGGAGTAACAGGTGCCTTCTAGAATCTTGGGATATCAATATTTACAAGAATCTATTCAATCTTGACGATGGTATTACTTCACGCCACGAGTGTTGATACTAAGCGCTGATGCCTAATCCATAGTGTTTACACCTAACCTCTCAGCAACGTGAATCAGCTATCGACAGCTATTGATTTACAAGGTACTTTGTCTACTTTGATACGTCTTTAATGATATATTAGGAATTAATTAGCACATGAAATTTCGCCGTAGCTTTATGCGCGGCAGCCGGGTAATTTTCAGAGAATTTCCACTGAAAACTGAAATAATTTAAAATTTCTTGAGGGTGTCAGGTGTTTGAGTAGAAATGACTGGCGATTCCGAAAATATCCGAACTTGGCATACCATGAACTACTATGTTCTCGACAAAAGCACAGAAAACTAGTCCTCTTTAATCGCTTGGTATTTCTAAATAAATATTGAATGGCCTTATCAGGTTTGCATTAAGTTCTTTGGAATTTGGTGAACATTTCCGAGTATCGCGGATTTAGTCTATTAAGACTGTGCCTAGCAAATGTTATTCCAATTTAAATAAAAGTAATTTACAGAATTGCTTGGTATTGCTGAAAAACCATAGAATAATTCCATTTGGTTTGCATGCCGAGGTTTTCGGCGGGAATGCGGTCAATATTTCTGACTATGGATGAGCCAAGTGCCAAGCACACAGCGGTTTTCTTACTAAAGTTCGATATTTCATTTACTTGAACACCAACAGTGTTTGGAATCGCCTAACTTTACCAAGCAAATATCTGATACTCTCTCTCGACACTTTTTCTCGTTAATTTCTATAAAAATTGCCCGGCTGCAGTACATGTAGCCACGGCATTGTTATGTAACACTTATTGGCTTTTTCCCTTTTTCTTTTTCCTCTTTTTGTTGGCAAAGTTACTGTTATTGAAGAATGCTGTCAAAAACACATGTAGCTCATTTAAGTTCAAAGATGCTTCGTTGAAACATTCAGATAGAGAAGTAGCAACAGCCCTAACTTACGTTACTATTTGCCCAAATTTGAAAACTCTTGACTTACCTTTTTTATGATAAATCTTCAATTTGATCTAGTCGGATAACTGCTTTTTCCATGAAATTTTTGGGTCAAAACTTTTATGTACTATTCCAGAAACGAGTGCGAGGGTTTCATCTGATGGAAGCCCGAGGCGGCAGGCCGATTGCTTTTATTGTTTTCGAGTGTTTGGAAACCCTGAGGAAACCCAATGCACGAGTTTTTAAAATAGCTTCTCAATCGCGCCTTAGGAATAAAAGAAAATGAAAATATTCACAAATGTTTCACATGTTGTCGGCAAGTTTGTTGTTACGAAAAATTGTATCATTATGGTGAGTTGTCCTTTGGTGTCTCGAAGAGTTCTTGTGATCAGTTTCTGGCCCTCTGCCTACTTTAAGAACTGTAAAATAAATATTAACGTAAACAAGTAAACAACCGTTATGATACTTTCCTTGGAAAATGTCTTGTTACTTCTTATTAGAGGGTGTTAATAAAGGTTGTTTTTTCATGTCACGGTGTCTTTGTTTTAAGTATTCAAATATGTATTACTGTTCAAATTAAGAAATGAGTTCACCAGAGTTTGACGCTTTATCAAACTCCAGGGTTTGATATTATATGAAACTCATGGTTAGCGCGTCATTCCAGTGTTTCACCGGGTTTCAAACACGTGACGAAATTGGCGTGTCTTGGTTGCATGATCACCTAATGAATAATAACAAGTTTATGAACATTACGGTATATCCTCCCTGTTCCTTGCATCAATAACATAATAAGTTCACCATCGGACATTGCAAAAAACTCTCCAGTTAAAAAAAAACAAGCGACAGGGCCTGACGAGGCATTACCTCAAATTCTGAAAACCGCTGGTCAACCCCTGGCTGGTCCGCTGCTTAATCTCTGTAAGATATTATGAGTTCCAAGAATGAGTATGTTTTTGGCCAGTGGAAGATCACAAGAATTAATCCATATTTTAAGGAGGAGGACGGGGCTGTAATGGCAAACTAGCGGCTCTTTCTTTCCATAGTTTCTCCAGTATAATACTCGGATCTTCTCTGGCTGCTAGAATCATTCAGCACTCGTTCACGGAGAACAAATTGATATCAGTTAACGAGTTGGCATACAGAGATAGACAGCCTAACCCTACCCCACCCTTACACCACGTTTCCCCTCCCCCAACAGGCTGAGCCGCGCGATTCTCTCTGCTAATCAAGGGTGATCAAGTAATAGCTGAAAATTTAAGTTCCTCACATTTTCAGAATCTTGTTTCATACAAATGTTGGGAAGATATTGGATTAGATGAAGGGGATGACTAGCTGAAATATTATGCTGAAACATAATAACATCTGTCCTTGAAGGTGACTGGTAATATTTTGTTTCCCCTTCTCTCTCTCTCTCTCTCTCTCTCTCTCTCTCTCTCTCTCTCTCTCTCTCTCTCTCTCTCTCTCTCTCTCTCTCTGTGACTCATCCGCCGGCCTCACGCTCCACCATTCACACTCTTTCTCCCTGACAAGTTTTTGCATCAGGAAAAAAACGACAAAAAATTAGCGGCAATGAAAACCTGAGAATATGCTCGATGCTCGTTTCACGTCTGCAGAATTTTCAGAGATGGGCAACTGTTAACCCATTTTCGGGATTTTTAAACATGAAACTAACACTGCAATAAATTAGTTATTGCATGCCTTCCACGGTTTCTGACGGGACGGGAGAAATCACTGCCTTGTTCCATACTTGTTTATATAATAAGCTCAGTTATGCACGCATTCTGATTGGTTCTCACCTATGATCTATTGAAGGACAGACGTATAGATGACGTCATCATTAAAACTTTTTACAGTATATTTTAATTCTTTATTATATAAAATAAATAGACTCCAAGTTGCCGTGCGTCTGTTCAGTAATAGATCACAGAGGACGTCAAAATGTGTTAAGAACATCAGTGACAAACTGGGCTGCGCCTCGTGTGCCACTTTTTTGTTCTTACCACATTTTGACTTCATCTGTGATCTGTTACTGAACAGACGCACGGCAACTTGGAATCCATTTGTTAATTTAACGGCTCTGTGAGTAAGATTATATTGAAGCAACAAGTCAAAGAAGAAATGGCTGCATATTGGCGGGAATACTTACAAAGGAATACCTTTTTTGATGTTATTTATATGTAGATAGGAATGTATCCAGAGAGAAAAGGGATCACATTTGATTAGGTTATTTCTTGTTACTCAACAACATTATTTTTATGATTTAAAGTAGAATACGCCTTTAACCCTTAGCACCCTAACATCAATATGCATAACCCCCATACTGTATTCTTTTATTTCTGACGAGGAGAATCTGCTCAACGATCAAGAGTTTCTTTGGTTGTTGATCATTTCCTTTATTCTCGTGGCTTTAATGTGTGATTCGGGGGGGATACTGTGAAGAGAAATTATATGCTGGTCACTCTTAGGGATTAAAGGGTCACAGTGATGTCGTAGGGTAACTCTGGAGCCGGCTAAAGGCCATGAAAATTAGATGCATTATGAGCATCATCATCATCATCATCATATTGGATGCAGCTACTCCGAGGGTGGCACGCGTCGAGGACGATATATTTGTGCTCAGTTAATGATCTTTTCATCAGGATCTTGATTATTCAAACACCTGGAGTTGTTAAGCGGTGCACCCGCGGGAAGCCTCCAGAAATAATAATTGCAAGTCGCCATTTTAAAAGCGCGATATCCTTTAGGAAACCAAGCGGCATTTGGAAGGATGACGTCAAGTTTACCATGTGGGTGATCAAGGGAAGGAGTTTCTGTTATTTTTTCACGATTAAGTCCTGTTCTTATTTGTTTTATTATTTACTGTATTTACAGTGGAAATTTCCCTCTGTTAAGCCGTAGGAGGTTGTAACTTACCAACTGAATGATCTTTACTGCCCTCATTTCACATGATATTGAGGTTTTACCGCTGACTCCGAGTTTCTTCATTTCTTAGGACTAATTTTCTTATTTCAAATGGTTCAGGGACAAAAATACGTCGGTTGATTGAAATTCTGAGGGAAATCAACAGCTTTATCGTGAACCTTTCTGCTGTCTAAGACCGTTGAGAATCCGAATCATTGTAAAGGTTCCCTTCACATTTCAGTTTGTTGTTTGTACGTCACAGGAGAGTGAGAACCACACTTTAAAATACCAGCCCAGTCGATTTTGATAAACAACCAAATGTCATTTTATTTTTATTCAGGTTATTACAAGTGAGCTTCGATTAATAGAGTTTTTTTCTTCTGATTTAATCATTCTTTCGTAGCCAAGCATGTCCATTAAATTACCACAGACTTGTTCTACTGCTGTAATTAAACTCAGTGGAGCTTTTTTCCATTTGTTCATAACAAGTGAAGCGTTTCTATAAAGTGAATAAGGATCCCTTTCATTATTTTTGTGCGGTTTTTTCTGATGTTTTTCAATCCATTTATCAACACTAACCGACCAATCAAATCCTGCAAATTTATAGAGATCCTTAGCAATTTTTGTTGTATTAACAACAAAATCTTCGTAACGTACCACTTGAAAGCGATTTTTTAGCCATGACGGGGGAGAAAACAAACCGAGTTTTATGTTTTTTTCAATGGAGTTACAAACTCCATTAATAACGTCATGGAAACTTTGATTTAACAAGCTCGATATATTTATCCATTGCACTGAATTAAGCATAGAATAAATCACAGCTCTAGGATCCCGTACTAAGTGAGTAAGTTTGATTTTATATTTCTGCTTCTGAAAAATTCCTTGGAAACTTTCAAGTGTATTTTTCGGCAAACGGGACGTCAAGATCTTGAGAACAGTATGTCTGGAAGAGTTACAAACATTGCCAAGTAGTTTCACTGAGTAAGGTAGACATTTTTTCGTTTTGTTTTTTGTAGGACACAAATGCCTACTGCTCAGTGACTTACTTCGCATCCGAAATATGCTATTAGATAATGCAGACATAATGTCTTTAGGGATCTGAGTGAAACTGCAGTTGAAAAAGCTATTGATTAGGTTGATAGCAGTTTTGCTGTACTGAATTTTTCTCTCTTTGTCTTTGTACAAATGGAGTTCATATATGCCGCGGGATAAAGTGTGTAGCGGCTCAAACCAATACATGATATCAGGATTAGCATCAAATACACCTCCTAAGAATGAAGATCCTCCTCTGCCTGGGCTCAATATAATGAGATTAGATCGTGGAGTCCTCTTGTGGAGTGTCTTAGTTTCAACAGATGGTTTAGTTGATTTCTTGATATCAAGCTTGGTGAATAATTTTTTTGTTTCTGTTTTTGGTTGTTGTGGCGGTTCTTTGTCAAATCCCTGCAAAATCGTTTGCCTTTTTGCCGGACCGATATTCGTATATGGATTTAAACGCGGAATCAACTTCCATGATGACAGAAGAACTAGGGTGTAAAAAACAAACAGTGACGCAAGGACGCTTAGTGTCACCAACACCAAGTTATTCTTCATGGCGAACTCAGGCGTCAACTTTGTGTTCGGTTTGTAATATTGTCAAGTGCGATGATAGCTGCGGAGAAAAACACGATACTGTAACATGCAGTCTCTATTGATTACTATTTCAATTGGTGTTTACTTCTTTTCATTTCTTCAACAATTGTAGGACGTAAATAAACATAAGGTTTGGCTTCCAATCAAGCTAACAATTTTAAGGTACGTACCGGAGAATCCACCGCAACTTTAAAATTTAATTTTTATTAGAATGAGTTGATGTTTTATGCAGTCGACCGTTTACTATGCTGTTACAGATGACATATGTGATAGTCAACTAATGCATTTGAAGTGGTCAGTAGTCCTCGTCGCATACATTTCTTACGATTGATTTAAAACGTAAACACTTGATAGGGTCATAAAACAATAACTGACCCGGCGAAGTCATGTGTAGTAACACATGATGTCGTCGTAGCAAAGCTAACTCTGAAAGACGCGAATGATTGAAAAAACTAAAGAGCAGTTAAGAACAAAATTGTTGGATGTCCTCGTGTGCTGAAGCTTTTAAACTAATTGCACACTGAATAACTCTAACTAATGCGTCAATATATCGGCTTCAACTTTGATCAGTGGCTTTGCTCAATAAGTGTAATACTTCATGTTGATATGACCTCCGACAACAGAAAAAGAGCATAACTTTCAAAAGAACGAAAATATCGCATTGCTTCTCCCTAAGAGAAAGAAATGAAACCTAATTTATCTAAACTCACACAGGTATTTTGTGGTCTATTGTCTGTATTGTCTAAATACTTCTAAGCAAAAATGAATTGCATCGGTGCCATATTGTTGTCTCCTTTGCAGTGATCTCGTCACACAACGCCATTTATTCCCCGTTGGAGAGACCAAACAACTGTCTTTTAAGTTTTTCTTTGTTTTGACTTTTTTCAGGCACTTTTTGTAACTCCATCGCTGACATTGTCCACACATTACAAACTTTGTGTTTCCGCTCCAAGTAATTACGCAGGGTCGAACCCTTCTTGCCCGCTCGGGAGGCCAATAACAACACAGGACTCGCTTAATGGCGCCCGCGGGCACTACCAGCGATTGTAAAAAAAGGTTCAACGAATACATTAGAGTGTATGAGTGGACGGATCAAGCTCAGCAAACATGCTCTTTGCCTTGCATATTTTAGATAACTACATTTCTAAGAGAGTTTCTCAACGAATGGCGATGAATTCAAGCCATGTTTAACACAATGGGTTGTATTGTTTTTCAGTCCTCAAGTTCAATTGACCTCATCTCTTGAATCAAAAGGAGAAATTATAATATTCGGTCTTTAGGCGACTTGATAAAGTCGAATTATATTTTAGACGAACGAGAACTTTGGCGGCTGATCTGGAATTTTTCAAGAAAAAAATAGCATAATAGATTGGACAGCGCTAAGCGCAAAAACCAAGAGCCTCTTTATATCTTGCCTACCTGTGTTATAACCACTGGAGATTGTCTTTCACAGACAGAACAAGAACCAACTGAGTTTCTCGCAAGTTATTTCGTGCCCGTTATCTAGAATAACGAAAGACAAACTTGTAATTGTTATTCAGTACGCATCTGTCAAATTCATATGGAAATGCAAACTTAGTTTGCGCAGCTGAAAGTTCTGTATGAGCTTTGAAGCCGCCGCCGAAATCAGCAGGCTTCAAAGCCTCAAAACCACCAGGTTCACAGGCTGAAGTCAACGATTTGTAGCTTTGGTGACTAGTTCGGTAACATAGCTCCATGTTAATGTTCGAAAGTTTTTCTTATTCGGCGAGTGAAGAATTTTAGGTATCTAAACAGCTTTTAAGCTTTAATAAACAGCCATCCTTTGATAAGCGCAAAGTAAATAAGCAACTCTATGCACACCCAGTTACTTTCTTAGAAGAAGGGTACAAATGATACAAGTAAAACCTGTTCAGTTTTTCTGTAACTGTTGTTAACATCTCTGAATTAAACCTTCAGATATGTTGCCATCGGTGCATAGATAAGAAAACATCTTTTTTTTTGTGAAGTCTTCTTTAGTCGTTTCAATCTCTGTCTCAGTACTTAAGAGCTTTTTCCATTTTTGTCTTTCCACTGAATAGTCCCAGGTCATGTACATAAGGACTTACTTAAAGATCCAGTCTAATTCAGTCACCGGATGATCACATTGACCAGTGACGACACTAAATACTTTTACATATACATTAGATAGGGCAGTTTTATTAAAAAACTTGCATTAGTACGAGTGAAAGTGTTATGGTAACACTTTGGTTTAGATTATTTACTATGCGATTGGCTTTGTGGAACATTAACAGCACATTGCAGTCGTTTAAAACAACGTTCTCTAGCAACGTGATTCACAGCTTTCTTTTACTTTTTTTGTTATTTTTATAAAATTGTGCAATTTTATACGCAGTATCTTTACTCTTTTGGGGAACAACATCAACTCATTGAAGTCATTGAAAAAAACCATATCAACGTGACTCACACTTTTGCCAAATCCATTGTTGCAAAGATATACAGGGATTGAAGGTCAGTGAACAATCAAGTTTTCTGTGGAAGGATTACTAAAATGTTTTCATTTACTGCCACAAACTGTCGATGATCTGTGCATTGACAATGAAGGATCATCTTTCGGACTGACACCAACTAAATGATGCCTGACAGTCATTGAAAATTCTCGCCATCATATGCGGTCTTAAACTCTAAGGAGTGAAGCCGGAGATTTGAATCTATTTCAATTTTTTTGTTGTTAAAATAAGAGTATTTACTGGTTTCTAGACTGATACCACGCAGTCAGATTTGTAACGTGCGTGCGTTTACCATTTTAATACATATGTCAATATTTCACTCACTAATGCCGGCGAATACTCGTCCTAGAGACTTCACGTGGTTTCTTTTAAACGAATTCGAAGTCTATATCAAAAAAAAATTTCTCTTGCTTTCTTTAGGTTCACAAACAACGAACTGAACGAAATGTAACACAAGCAGAAAGATCTCAATTTATTATACCCGGTCGCTTTGATTCCTGGCCTGTCGTACCCGTAATAGGGAGAAACAAGACAACTTCTGTCTTCAAGAGTTGATTTCATCATGAGAAATCACTGGTTCTATTTCAGATGCTGTATCTTTATTTCAATGTGTTTACCGATTTTATACATCCTGTTTAACAGTAATGTGTGGAAGGCAACCGTGGATTTGATTTCTGAAGAAAGTGGTAAAAGCCTGAAGAAACTTCGTCCGCATTATCATTTTGAAACAAAATCGCTACCTGATCACAAACGAAAATCACCTCAAGAACTTAGGTTTCACTCCAAACCAATAAGGAGCGAGGAAAACAGTGAATTAAATCGAGAACTCGGAATTTGTCCCAGGAGGAAAAATGTTGTTATTTTAAGTCAAGGAAGGGGGGGGTCTTCGTTCCTTGGAGGAATTTTCAACTGTCATCCTCAAGTCATGTACTGGTTCGAACCTCTATTTCATGTCGGCAATGTTTTGAATGTGAACGTGTTTATGGAAAAGGAGCCAATTTCATACAAAGATACTTGTTTTCATTTAGTCGACAGTATTTTGAGTTGTGACTTTAGTAATATCACCGATGCAGTTTTATCAGACATTTCTACCAGTTCTTTCCGTCGTCACAGCCAAGCCCTCACTAGTGATAAATTATGCCCCGGTAAAAAAACCTCTGGAAAGTGTGCACCATTGACAAACTCTTTGCTTGGTAAGGTTTGTAATTCTTATAAGTATTCTGTTATCAAGATTTTGAGTGGACGATTACCAAACAACTCGCTAAAGAGCTTTCAGGAACATTTCGTCCAACAGAACAAATACGATGTGAAATTTATCAGCTTGGTTCGCGATCCTAGAGCTGTGGTGTTTTCTTGGGTAAAGTTGAATTGGATACAGGGCCATTCAAATGCGGAATTTCGTTCAAATGTCCACAGGATTTGTGATTCAGTAAAAAAAAATGTGCTGATTGGCTTGTTGTCTCCCACGCCCTGGCTTAGAAACCGCTTCAAAGTAATACGCTTCGAAGATCTTGCAATCGATACCTCAAATGTTGCACGAGAAATATACAAATTCGTGGGACTTGATTGGTCAGTGAGCGTGGATAAATGGATAAATGATCACAGGAGAAGGAAGGGTGAAAAGAACCCGTATTCACTGTTCAAGAATGCTTCAACTGTTATTAGCAAATGGAAGAGAGAAGCTCCTGAAGAGCTCATCAAAGGTGTTGAGGACGTTTGTGGTGGCTTAATGAATATTATGGGTTACAAAAAATGGTGTAAAGCTGATCGTGACAGATAAAATTATTACAAGTTATTTTCAACCAAACAATGTTGTCGTGTGACTTTTCAACGCAATGTTATTGGCGAGCAATATTTCCAAATCACTTTCCATTCAGCTGGATTGCAAAGTAAGAACTGAAAATAGATTATTTTTAATCTATGACACAGATGTTACAGTTTGTTTTTTTCATATGTGGTTTTAAAGCAAGTTCCTGTCTATGATTTCTATCACATGAGCGACATCTGCCGGCTTTGGTTAAAAAAAGAAAATTCTTAGAAATCATAACTAGAGCGCCGGTTTCAGTTGAACCTGAAACTCTCTGTAAGAATTGGAAGTCAAAACATTTGTAGCAGTATGAGTGTTGCAGAAAGTTAAATTATTGATGTAGAGTACCATTTATTGGGAGGGTGTGTGCGGGTGTGAGTTGATGTAACGCTTCCATATCTTTTATTGTGAACCGTCCATTTGTTTACAAAAATAATGTAAAAATGAAGAGACATATTGATATTAGTGATGTTGATCGATAGTTAGTCGTTATCGAATAAATGTTTTAGTTAGAAAAGCAATGTCTGTTAGTCGTTATGGATTCTCTTGATATGGCGCGAGAATTTTTTATCACTCAAGTCGTGAATTGTGACATTTTTAAGGATGTGAAGAGAGTTGGAAAACGAATCACAACTCACAACCCCCCACCCCACCCCTGCAAAGCGAGGAATAACTCAACAGTAACCTGGACCGATTCGTATTTTTCGTTTTAAAAATAACTCTAATGGTCTGGAGATGACGTGAACACGTCTTTAACGACTTTGATGCGGAATTGTGGACAGATCAGACAACAACCGATGGTTTCTGGCAAAAGGAAGTAAAAGATATTTTCAAACGTGACTTTGTATTCCTAGAATTACATGTATTTCAAAGATTCAAACATATCAAGTGTCTTGATAAACCTTAGTAAGGAGATTACTTAAGGCCTCAGTCATTCCGGGAAAATTCCCAGCGTTATTGTTTTTATAGTTAGTAAACTAATTCATCATTTGATCGACAATTAAATGAAGCATTATCTTGGACTTTATTGTTTTTATAGTTAGTACACTATTCATTTGATCGACAATTAAATGAAGCATTACCTTGGACTCGAATTGAAACCGAAAGGAACTTGAAATGTAATATCCATTACTGCTTTAGTTAGAAATGCAATGTCTGATCTCGATTTATATTTAATTCAAATACGTCCGCGAGATGTCCGGAAACCGAAGGAATTTCAACTGAGTCGTCATTACTTTTTTAAAAGGAACAGTAAAGCACTCGTCGAAAATGAAATTTCCGTTACAGAACTCGAGTTGTCTTTTCATTAGTTATTTCGGGGAAAGATATAATGAAATGTGAAATACTCACGTGATTTCAACGGGTTTTTTCCCTTTCTTATCAAATTGTTGTATATATTGAGGCAACGATAAGCTTTTGCAAACTGAATCGTACAACGCAACATGAACTACATTAAGGAAGAATTGACCTTTGAATGTTCGGAAGTTCTTTCAACTTCCATGGATGAAGAGAAGAAACTCGTTTTATCTGAAGACGAAATTAAGAAATTGCGACTTGCGATGGAAAAACTGGATGAATTTCAGGAGCAATGCCAAGAGGCTCTGGTAAGAGATAACATTGAATAGTCGTGAAATTCAGCTTATTACATTTGCATTAGACTGTGAGTACGGTTCATGTTTTGAATTATAATATTTAAAGTTGTATTTTGTCATAGCAGTAGGGCAGAATGAGTTTGTGGTTTTTTCGATGGGATTAGTTTTTGTATGCCTTGAGAAACTTTCACATGCAATTTGATAATCCTTTCAAAATTGGCTCTTACGAACGGCTGACGTTGGAAGCATTCTATATTAGCTTTAGAAACCCTTTACGGATGCCAAGATACATTGATAAAACTGACCAAATTATCTTCTCAAAAAATAGTCAACTTTCAGTTGGTTTATTTTTAAGAAACTGACACATGTGATGTTTTCGCTGTGGAGTTCACCTTTTATCGGACATTTAATGTTTGAATTACAATCAATAATAAATTGGTTCAACATTTTGTTTTCTTTTAGGAGCAAACACTAGAGCAACATAGACTTGACTCTGGTAAGGTTGAAATGATTCAATGGGATGAACTTGCCCAAGTCTTATTCGAAAGGGTAGGTGCAGTTATCATTTGATTCAAGTTTTTTACGTCGTGTTGAACATACTAGCCGTACATGATGCTCCAACCGTCAAACGTGACAGAACTGATTTCGGAGGGGAGATTCCCTTACGTGACCAAACTAGCATGCGTCATTCATTTCCTTATATCGGTTTCGGTTTCGGTTTCGCTTGTTGAAGGGAAAGTTTGAAAGATGTATGAACGAACGACTTGGTAGAAAAAAACTTAAAACTTGTTGTAAGTAATATAATTAACAGTTTTATTCCTATAGAGATGGCCCGTCAGATTAAGTATCCAAAACAAAAGAGAGCGGCTGTCGATTTTCACCCACGCCTGTTAAACTTGAACCCCTCTATAAACAAATCATCTGCGCTTGTAATTAATGAGTCTTTTCAAACTATTTATCTTTTCTACAGGCACAATTAGACAAGACTGATGTGCAAAGAATGGAGGAAGACCTTAATTTGTTCCAGATGTTTAAGGCAGCCATTAAACTGGTGACTGATAGTGTGCTGGATGAAAATGTGCAGCAACTGAGCGATGACTTGGAACATTGGCTTAATGCCATCACACCAGTCATGATTAGAGTGGTAAGAAAATTTCCTTTATTATTTTTCTCTGCAAATGCTTTGCCCTAATTTGCTTCACTCTGTTTTGATAGATTACTAATCAGTGTGATGTAATATTATCAACTGAGTTGCTAACATAAATTGGCCACCATAAAGAGTTTCGAGCGTCAGCCCTTCGTCATTCGCTCTACGATGGCCAATTTAAAGTATCAACTCAGCTGATAATACTCAATTACCCTGTCATACTCTCCCACCGACACAGCACCATAGTTTCTTTAGAAACTTACCCCCTTAAGCAATCAATGTGATTTACTCCTTTTCTCATTTGATTAATCTTGTCTTACCTATATCCATACTGTTTCCAATTTTTTTTTCTAAAAGCTTTGGAGTAATGGCATTTCACCTCCAAAACCGCCACCGACTGAAGACTTACAGGAGAGACTGAATGAACAAATCAAAGATTCTTTAAGGGTAAGTTTTTGCTCTGTGATAGAAATATAATATATTTCCTTGCAATGCTAGGGTGAACACAATACTACTCCAGCGTAAGGCAGCATAAATATTCTTTGATAAGTTTAAATACAGTTTGATTTAAGAAGTTCAGTGTTTAGGAAGTTATTTAGTTATGACTGCGTTCAGCCAAAGTTCCAGTCACCTAACATATATTTTATTATATTAAGATGTTCTAATCTCTTTATTCTACACACACTAAGGGAGCTCACCAAACATTCAATGTGTAACGCATTTAAAACCACTTAACCTGAAAGTTTCCTGTCGCTCATTGTAGGAATTTGTCTGTGAAAACGACGAAGAAAACGTGGAACACCCTCTGAAAAACGAAGAAGAAGAAACAGATAGTTGCAAAATCAACCCAAGAACTGTTCGTGACGTCAGAAATTACATCACTGTAAGGGATCTGGGTGATCTGTTGCTCCTTTTTAAAGGAGATTTTGGTCATGTGACCAGACACAGTTGATAGCCTGTTAGGAGAGACAAAAAAGAGACTCGCAAAAGTTCATATTTTAATGTTGTATTATGATATATGTACAGAGAGAGCGCGTAGATCTCAATATATTGTTATTTTAAGAGACATTGTAATATATAATTCAGTCCTGCGTTTTTGAATTTGTATCACTAATATGATGTTACATAAAATTTGAATCATTGGATAAGCAATAAAAAAAATTATTTTAATTTACACTCATGTCATGTAAGTGTTACCAGGAACTTGTCTCTGTTTTCTCGGCCATTTAGTTGCGATAATTTTTATGAACTTGTAGTAAACTTCTCAAGCTGATCTACTTTACTACACGCGAATGACTGTTGTCAGTCTTTTGGCCCGACCATATTTATCGCAAGGGCAATGTAACTGAAGCAAGCTGACAGTGCCCATTCTTTTATGTGGAGTGGAAGCTAAGATGTCAACGGTCATACGACTGTAAGAAGTGCGAATGGAATTTCTTCGAGGCTTTCCATAAGAAATTGAAACAGTGTAAGCTTCAAGAGCCTTGTCTAGGTGCGTGATTAGTTTGTCACCCTTGAAGAACTCTGGCCTTCATGGTCACGCAATCATAACCTTCGTCAAAACCAAGGAATGTGCGGTGTTATCCGAACTATTTTATCATCACTAAAAATACGTCAATGAAAACATTACCAAAACATCGAGGTATTGAAGTTTAAAATAGAAACTATTTCTATATACGATACAGACAGATATCAAATTTTTAAAAACGAAAAGTTTGTCAAAGAAAAATGAATTTTATTTATCTCAAAAAGACCGCTTGTTGTCAAATGAAAATGGGACTGTTACTTGTTGAGATCTGAAGTCTTTTTTTTTTTTTTTTTTTTTTTTTTATTGATTTTTTTTTATTTTTTTTTTTTTTTTTTTATTTTTTTATTTTTTTTAATTGCAACACGAAGAACACTACTTTACAAAACAAGACGAACACTACTTACAATACCACCTACAAGACGTTACTTATTCTACTTACTATATAATACTTCCTTAGACTGCAATTCTTACTACTTTTTACAGTTTTTTTTCGTTTTTTTTTTTTTCGCTTACACACCTATGTATCTATTAAATTATAATTCAAAATGGGTTTCCATTTAGCCTCTAGCATCTTCCTATCATTAAACTTAGCCGCAATGTGACATTCAGTTTCATATTTTCTTTTAACTAGTTCCTTATACGAAGGGAAAAAAGGAAGACTATTATTCCTACGGCAATTCCATAAATGTAGCTTACCTAAAACGATTAAGTAATTAAATAAAGAACAATTAGTATCTGTGACACCAATTAAAATAGTCTTTAACTCAAGTTTCCTTTGTTCTTTGGCTATAGCGATCCAATAAGATTCAAATTCTTCCCAAAATGCATGTGAGTAAACACAGTAAAAGAATAAGTGATCAATTGTTTCCGCACTAGTATTGCAAAAAGTGCAAAGATCGCTTTGTATTAAACCTATCTTAGCTAAGCGGGAATTTGTGAATAAAATGTCATTTAGTATTTTAAATTGAAAGCATTGCACATATGTCTCGCAGATACAGGACCTTATTAATAAGAAGGCCTTTTTGTTTCCACATCATCAATAGAAAATTTAGATTTCAACTTTGTGAAGCCTCTGGACTCTGTCGCCTTACTGGATATAAGCAAACCGTAGAAATCCCTAGACTTGCTAAGTGCTGGATCAAAGATTTTATCACCGATTTTAAATTGCAGTGATCTGACATGATCTTTCTTAATTTCGTGGCATCGAATTCTTAGATGACTTGGTACTGCGCAACGAACACCAGTCCAGGTCAGAAAGTTGGAATCTTTAAACCATTACGTTTTGCAAGGTTAAAGGACTCTGTGTTACTCAAATCAAATTTTAAGTCGCTTAAAAGAATAATATTTGCGCTATTATAATTATAATAGAATAAAGGTTTGCCGTTTACTCTAATGTTATGATTGTTCCAGATGATTGTTTCACGTAGACTTACAAGATCAAATTTAGAACGAAAATCTGACCACCAGTGTAACATCTCCTTATAAAATATTGGGGAAATGTTATAGTCATTAATATTATAATCACAATGAAGAAAAAATTCTCCACTAAAAGGTTTTAGTAAATGTAATAGATACGCTTTCCAGGGATAAAAATTATCGCTTAGAAATCTTCCAATCCATGAAAGTCGGAGTGACATAATTGACGTTGTAAAATCAGTTACCTTTAGGCCACCAAATTCAACATCATTTATTACTGCTGTCCTGGCGATTTTATCAGGACCCTTCCAAAGAAAATTATATATAATTGATTGAAGGGCCTTTATGAACTCCAAAGGAGAAGGAAGAATTGACGAGATGTATAAAACTTTAGGAAGTAGTAAACTCTTAATAATTGTAACTTTACCAAACAGAGAGAGGCCTCTCCAACTCCACAAGCGTATCTGAGATTTAATTCCTTTGAGCTTATCGTAGAAATTCTTTTGCACTGATTCTTCGTTATTGTAACTAAAGTGAACCCCTAAAGCTTTTACAGTTTTACGCCATTTCAATGCTAGAGGTGTTTCGATGTTATTACGGGAAGAGCCAATCCACATTGCTTCGGTTTTTGTATAATTCACCTTTAGGCCAGAACATTTTTGGAATTGATCAAGTAACTTAAAAAGGTATTGAGCAGATCTGATATCCGACACAAAAGCTGTTAAATCATCTGCATACTGTACCATTTTGAAATCTTTTTCATCTATTTTGATTCCATCTATTTCTGAACATGAGCGAATAGCGACTGCTAGTAGTTCCATAGCAATGATAAACAAGTAAGGAGAAAGGGGGTCTCCCTGCCTTACACCCCGATTTATTTCAAAGCTAGCTGAGAGCGTTCCATTGTTGATAATACAACTTGTTATGTTACTGTAAAAGGTTTCTATCCATCTTGTAAGACTGGATCCAAATCCAAAGACTTCTAAGCATTTGAACATAAAATTCCACTCCAGACTATCAAAAGCTTTCTCAAAATCTATAAAAAGTAGCAATCCAGGGATTTCATAAGTTTTCGTGTAATCCATTATATCTAGAATTGATCTTGCGGCTTCCCCTATGTAGCGACCTGAAACGTACCCAGTTTGATTGCTATGAATGATTTCGGGTAAAACTTTGACAATACGGGTCGCTATAACTTTGGACGCAATTTTGGCGTCGACGTTAGTCAAGGATATTGGCCTCCAATTTTCTAAGTAAGTCCTATCCTTGTCCTGTTTCTCAATAAGAGTAATCACTGCCTGTCTCTGAGATGGGGACATTTCCTTCTTCATAAAAGCTTCATTAAATGAATTAATCAAAGTATCACTAAGTAATGGCCAGAAGGTGTTATAAAATTCAATGGGTAACCCGTCGTTGCCTGGCGTTTTTGCAGTTGGAAAAGTTTTGAGAACGTTCTGGCATTCTTCCGCAGTTATTCTACCCTCACATATTATTCTTGAATCATGTGAAATACTGGGTAAATTTGGACTATCGAAAAAAATCGATGATTCTGCATTATCTAGATTAACATTTCTGCTACGATATAAGTTCTTATAAAATTTGCGTAGTGAATCCATAATCATAAAGGGGTCAGTAGAAATTACACCGCTAATGTGCAGCTTTCTTACATGCTTTTTAACATGGTTGCGTTTCTCGAGATTTAAAAAATATTTGTTATTCTTTTCACCGTGTTCGTGCCATCGAGCTCTTGCGCGTAGTATAATCCCTTCTACTTTGTCCTCGTACAGTGCTTCAAGATCCTGCTTAGATTTTTCTAGTGCCAGACGCGTATTGTTACAAGGATTTGTGTGAAACATTAGGACTGCCTCCTGATAACGTTTATTTAATTCCTCTGATCTGATCTGAGATCTGAAGTCGGTATCAGTAAAAAAAGACCCTCAAGCTTCGTGGTCGTCTTCATTCAAACTGATTGTACACTTGTCACTCGTCATACCGACCTGCCTATTACAAGTTCCAGACAAATTTAATCTTGACCTTAAATACTCTACTAATGTAATGATAATAATAATAATAATAATAATAATAATAATAACAACAACAATAACAATATTTCTTAAAAAGTAGTAACCCAATAATAATAATATATTTTTTTTAATATAAACTTGATTAATTTAAAATCTGTTAAGGTCTCATTTCACATAGTTATTTCATTCTAATGATTACATTCTATCGACTACAATCTGTTACTTCCTAATCCTATCCTTAACTACTTCCGAGTTCAACCTAGCTCAAGGGAAATATCATGGAAAATCTTATTTGAAGATAAAAAAACATCCATCTTATATATTAAAAAATCTAAAAATATTCTCAAAAAAAAACAAAAACAACAAAAACAACAAAAACAAAAACTATTCTCTAAATCCTGCTTGTTCTTTTTCGATCTCAAAGTCACAATGTTCAATGTTCAGAGGAACACGCCTAGTGGTGCGTGAACCTCTTAGGCAAAGTAAGGCGGAGCTTAGTAGAGCGAAGGACACTTTTGAACGTATCCATGAAGTCGTTGTGCTGTACTCCTCTCCTTTCTTAATAGATATGAGTTCCGTTAATCTACTGTGGAAACGCTTGCATTCGTCCGCCATGCCACCGGTGGTAGTGAAGAGTAAAGGTGTAAAAGTCCCTCGTTCAACTTCCAAAACCCTGTTCGCGTATAGCCTCTTCTTCTCATCTTCATGTTTGCGATAAATCTGCTGAATGGTGAGATCTTTGTAAGACTCTGCGTTTGGGTGAAAAACCCTTACGTCGAAAAAGGCAGAGCATTGCCCATCCCAAAACCCACGAGCGTGAACATCCAATCAGGCATCCGGTGCTGGGTTCGTACCCCTCGTCAGCACTTCTGCCGTTATCTCCTGGAGAACGGGTTCCACTTGCGCATCGTGGCAAACAGTGTTTAGCAAATCGGCCTCAAGATCACGCAGCTTGTTATGCCTCTGGATGATGAATTCTCCTCGTCTGCACACCATGGCATGATCCACCGTATAATAATAATAATTGTAATAATAATTATAATAATAACAGTAATAACAACTTTATTTAAAGAGGGTAACACACAACAGTAATTCAAGTGATGAATTAGTGGCCCTGGATTTTCCTACAAGACTGAGAACATTTGTGACTCATTCGTTTCCATGTGTTTGAAAACGTGTCACTGCAGAAGAAATAGCTTCCTTACAATCTGTGAAGCTGTTGTGAAAAAGGGAACCGAGCAGCGAGTAATTGTCTAGAGTGGTGACGTCACTTCCAAACCTCTCTCAAACGGCGAGGTTACACAATAGTACCTTCGTGAACGAGAAAAATCGGAGAAATTAGCAATAGACTGAGTTTGCCTGTCACTAGAGGAGGATTCCAGGATGAAATTATACGCATTAAGTGTTGTTCGTAAAGATATTAAGTCAAAAACATTAGTTTCAGCATACGATCTTCAATCCTTTGGATATTTTCAGCGTTCAAGGTAGGTTTTATTTTCATAATTTATCCTCTGAAGGCTGTATTCGAAAGAATTTCCAATTTCATATGTGTGCATCAGAAGTTACACCAATAAAACCTAGACTTTTCTCCTTGCGTCTTTCTGTTTAATCATTATTCTTTCGTAGTTAATTGTTTTATTTTTTTCGTAATCTATCAAACTATTTTTAAATCAGACGAGCCTGACTCAGTACAAGTAGCTAATTTGCTTTGATCAGGCAAGGTAGAAACCGTGAAAACATGCTTGTAGTGGTTTGCATGAAATTTTATATGGATCAGTGACCAGGAAATCATTTTTGAAACGTGTGAACTGATCTCTTTTCAATTAACAAATCTGGGAAGTATAGAGTTCCTTGGTCTGACGATTTGTATTTTTTAGCATCATAATCAAAAAATGAGCGATTTCTTGAGACTAATAACTGTAGTTAAACACATTGTAATCATTTTTAGGCAGATTGACTTAATTTTTTTAAATAGTACACTAGTATTGTGACTGTCCTACTCTTGGTACATGGAGCCTCCTCTCCCCTCTTGGGAGAAAGGAACATTGACTGATTCTTAAATCAATACTAAACTTTCTGTTACCCTTAAAGTTAATATGTCACAGTTCAAATTTGCTTACACCTCCTTTACCAAATATACCTAGCTTAGCTTAGGACTAGGACTAGTATATCTTACAATTTTTTAGATTTAAAGTATTATGCTGGATAATTATACTCAGTTTTTTTCAAGAGTCCCTTGAGTGTCAGCTCAGTAAAGGTTGTGCTGGAAAATTAAGGTGAATTCAAAGTACACACATTATGCACTTGATTTTTCAGTGTGAAAGAATTTATGCAGTTTACTGGCCAAATACTTGTGGAAAGAACAAGAACTAACGAGAGAGCCTCAGTGAAAGAAAATGGTAGGTTAAGATTAATCAGAGAGGATAATCCTAGCCTTTGTTAAATCATAAGCATTTGGGGTTTGGGTGATGAAGAATTTGTTTAATAGGAGATGAACTTTATTCGTTTGTCTTGTGATGGAGTCACTTTGGATGTTGATCAATATCCAAAGTGACTCCATTGTGAGACAAATGAGTAAAGTTCATCTCCTATCTTACACCACAATGAACAATAACCACATATTTCATAATATAATTTGTTTAATAATGATTATTTTGAGCACAGAACAGTAAATCTCCTGACCATGTGAACCACTAAGCTTTTTTTAATACATTTTATGTAGCATAGTGGTGTGGAGGAGGGCAGAAAAACACATAGATCACATCAGTTTCTGTCATGGGTCTTGACTCACACCTTTTTCATCTAGGCTGATAGCTCAGTATATCTTTGATACAAGTTTCTTGAAAGGCTAGCAAATTTGTTGGCACAGTCCTAGGTTTGTAATGATTTTTATTAACAATTAAATGAGCATTGTTTTCCCTCCGACATACATTTTGGATTCTTAATACAATGAAATTAATGATAAAAAAGAAGATTGTTTTCCCTCTGACTTAAATTTTGGATCCTTAATACAATGAAATTAACGATACATTCTTTTATTTAGACAGATTAATAATATTTTGTCCTTGTGCAACCCTTATAAATCCTGTATCAAAGGGACTCTAGACTAAAACATTTCAAACTTTTTACTGCCCCTACACAGGTTGTCCAACACAGGCCTTTTATGGATATTTTTGTTTATGTACCTTTTGTTTTTGCAGAGTACATTTGTCACGTCTTTGTGAGATCAGATTCTCTCGGAGGAGTTATTATTTCTGACAATGAATATCCACAAAGAGTTGTTTTTACCTTGTTAAATAAAGTAAGCGTTCCATTGTCAGTAGGGAGAGACGTGTTTGGAGTTATGTTTGTATTACATTGATAGTGTGTATATATGTGTAGCCAGCACAAAGCTTGGCTTAGTGATAACCTCTGAACATTTTCAGCACTCTTTCTCTCTATAGGTTAACTCTTTCAGACATTCTCTTTTTACTCAGCTTCCCTATTCTATGATTTTAAAAAATATATATATGATTTTAAAAATGCACTCTGTTTGAAAGGAAGCACAATGGAGGAGGTTTTTTGCATTCCTGTTTTTTTTGTTATTGACTCTTAGTAATTTACCCTAGATGTGTTAAGTTACTGGAAGTCCACTGGAAATTTGCTCTTTTATTAATACAGTGGAACCTTCATCCAGGGGACACTCTAAGGACTTAAAAAATTGTTCCTCTTAAGATGTTAACATATAAATAAAAGTTGTTCTTTTTTAAATGTGCCGCCATAGTAGAAGTCCTTAGAGCTAATGACCTTCTGGTCACTTTCATCAGACTCCAGATTTGTTCTTAATTCTTAGTTTGTAGTCTGCAATGTAATGTGTTTAGTTACATGTACAACTGATAATGATGTTGTATGTTTTAACATTTTATTCCATTTTCTAATGCAAAATTTAAAAGGTTTTAGAAGACTTTTCTCAGAAAATATCCCCATCAGTTTGGAAAACAGCTGAACCAAAGTAAGCTCTTGTTAAATATGTTTGATTTTCAGGCATTGTAGTGAGTGTATGCTGCATTGAATGAAACATTCAGTGCTGTATTTTAACAATAAATCTTCTTGTAATGCTTATGGCTTTGATCAGTGATATGGTGTGGAAGGATGGTTCCATAATACTTCCTTGTGAAATTGAAGTCAGTTAATGTTTGTCATAGGTCAACATAATTAATAATATTTAGTTTTTCTTACAAGGGGCTGAACACAATTAGACCCAAAGGAAAGTTTCATCCTGTATGATGTTTCTGATGTGTTTAACTCTTGTCAATTTCTAGTACAATAGTCTGGCCAGAATGTGAGAAATATTTGCAAGATTATCAGGTACACAGGTCTTGATTTTATAATGGTTACATGTAGATCATATTGTAAGGTGTGAGTCTTTTGTCAGTTTACTCTCTTTGCTGGAAATCATTCCCAATGTCAAGAAAGGAATCCTTTTCCTTCGGAAGAAGTTTCTACACTATGGCTTTGGGGATTGAAAACAAGAAAAAAAACAAAACAAAACAAAAAACTTGGGAACTAAATAATCTAAATTCTTGACAAGTTTTGGCTTTCTTGACAAGTTCATCTTAAGTATGATATTTATTAATTGTTGATTGCAAACAAACCAAAGAAAAAGGAAAGTATATAAACTTGTTTGTAGATATGTTGATTCACTTGATTTATGCATTAAAAACTCTTTAATTTCCAGAAGTAATTAATCTGTAACTTTTCATTGTGATTCCAATATTTTATCCTGCTAACAAGTTATGAGAACAGACATGGTAATCAGCTAGCAGGGGTTATCTTGATGTAACACCAAATTCTCTAGCCTGATTTGCTTACTTGAAATATGATTAAGTGGTATTAGACATAATCTTTTTTAATTATTGCTACAGAATCCAAGAGAAGCTGATGCTATGACTAAAGTACAGGCAGAACTGGATGAAACAAAGATAGTTTTAGTAAGTGCTCCACACAAATTTGTTTTCACTACTGGCAATTTGCTGAAAGGACTGCTCCAGCTTTGGGGCCATTTTAGTATTGGTAGTAAGGAGATGGCGAGGGTTTACTTATGAAGCATAGATGCAACCTCTGGGTAGAAAATGAGGGAGTGACTTACAAATACATGGAAATTTGGAATTTTTTGCTTTTATGTAAGGACTAGAATTGTGGTTTAAAAACTTAGTAGGTCAAAGAAAATTTTCAATACAGTATATGTGGTTGTAAGATTGTTACTATCAACAGACAACTAGTGCAGATTTCAAGTGATCCTTATCTGCCTGCTGCCTTATGACTAGATCATGGCTTCTTTTAAGCTGTTCTCAGCCCTCTGTTGTTACATTTTTCCTTCAATTGTGTAAAAGTGTAGTTCATCCAGTTGTGAGTAGTCTTAACAAGGACTATTGTTAGTATCAGTGAGTGAGTCGAATTAAACTAAGGATTTATTAGTCAATCATTTCAAGTTTATTTCATCAAAACAGATTGGTCAGTTTTGTCACAATATTATTGTCTTTAAGATTAATTAAAATTGGTTTATTTAATGTAAGGTTGGTCAGATCCTATCATTCAAAGTTCATTCAAAAGGGTGCAGTCATTCTGTATTTGTCAAGAATAAGTTGTTTATGCTAAATGACTACTCACCTTGGCCCAGTAGTTTAAAGGGTGGATAATGCTATCCAGATGATAAGTGTTAACAAAAGTACTGCACTATCTAATTGAGAACAATATCCATTCTGGAACAACCAGAGCCTGAATGATAAGACTACATAATCAAATGTTATTATAAAGTTAAAGCCATACACTATGAGACACTCTTTAGAATTATTACATTAGATTCTGCAACATTTTCAAATCAACTATAACATCTGTTGGACTTTAATTGCCCTTCCTTGTTGAGGTGTAGGTAAATTTTGCCTAAATCAACTCATGAAATTTCATCACTATCCCCTTAATATTTGCCATCCATTTATTTACAGCACAACACAATTGAAGCTGTGCTAGAGAGAGGAGAGAAACTTGATGATCTTGTAGAAAAATCTGAAGGACTAACCATGCAGTCAAAAGCCTTCTACAAAACAGTGAGTCATTTCACAAAACTACTAGTGCCTTACCAAACAGTTTTAAACAACAGCCGCAATTTAAGTTACCTCATTGCTGTCCCACATGATTGGACTAGAAACTATTCTTCAAAACAATTTGAGGGTAATTAGTTGCAAACAACTAAGCTTTGTAGCAGTATACAGAGAAACCACAGACAAAAGTTTGTTTATGTTGGTAATAGGATTAGGATAATAAGTTTCCATCTATTCAGTTATTGCTTAAGTACAAACCAAAAAGTCACCCACCATAGCCTCATGACCCTTCCATTAATTCTACAATTTCTGCACTATTCAGTCCAGTGATAAATATTATCATTCATTATTCTACAATTGCATGATTTTACCATAAAAGGCATTTTAACATGCAAAATATGCCCTAATATTGCACTGTAGAACAGGGCAAATAAAAAAATAGAAAGTAGAGAAACAAAATGGCTGCACTGAATGGTTTGAACTCTACTTTTTTCTGTTTTTGTAGGCTTAGCCTTTCAACCTTCAAATCTTTTAAGTATTTCAGATTTTTTTGTTGGCCATAATCACACTTTTGTGGTAAAGCTCAAGTTGTCTTCTGTCAGTCACACATGCCTTGTGCTGTGGATTCAATGTTTACACGAGGCCCTAAGATGTATATTGAACACTAGAAGCTAATTGAAAATACTGGAAATTGAAATAATAGAGGAATAATAAATACCTGATTTGATGGTTGAACTTATAATACAAGCTGACATTTCACTCCCAGAATATCCCTCTATATTATATGTTAAAGTCTTACCAACATACCACTTCTATCCAACGTAGGGAATTTTTTTTATCTCTGTTCAAACAGGCAAAGAAGACAAATTCATGTTGCAGTATACAATGAATAACAACAAGGAATTGTCACAGAGGATTATTATTTTTGTACATAGATAGTGTTTTAGGACTTCTGGGACTGAACAGAAATTGTTTCAAGGGAGAAATGTGTAGCTATTAATTGAAAACCTTCACTAGAGTTTAGGTCATCAGAAACTCAGCGAAGCATTGACCATGTATTGCCTCACTCCTCCTTCCCCCTCACCTCCACCCTCTTGACAAACAGTAAGGCAATTATCATTTAAAGAAAAACAATACAGACTTGAAAGAAATGTGTATATTTCAGCCGTGCTATATGCAATACCACAACTTATTTTGTAAATCTCTGTATTTCCAAAAGTAATAATGGGATAATGGGAGGATAAATAAAGTTCAAGTTGTTATGTACAACTAAAGTATGAGCACAACCATGTCCAAGTTAGTTGATCGTACCTCACTCTGTACTCAGAGGCAAAAAAAAAAAAAAGAAAATGCATTTTAAGTTTATTCAGTTGCATAGCTTTGCTTAACATTGCAGCATGAAACAAGAAGAAGCAGTCATTTCAAAAACATTTATTGACATTGTATTATCAAGTACAGAGTATTATGGCCTTACAAAATTAATATCACAGGACATAAAGGAATAAATTGGCACCAAAAGTTTGACAAAATGTCATGAATGGATACTCCACATCCCTCCACAATCATAGAAAGATAGATGGCCCATCTAAAACAGTGGAACTGAAACAGAAAGTAACCACAAAAGCATTCATTTTAAACCACCAAAAAAAAAAAATAATCAGCACTGTACTCCCTCTTGTAACTTCTTCTGAAGCTTAGTTTTGACCTTGAAATTCTTAAAAAAGTCATTCTGAAAATTAACTAATACTTCTGTACCTATCCATCAAATAGCCCCCCTGGAGCAGGTGCCCTAAACACTATCAGATAAGCAACATATTGAACGCAAATTTGGAAAAAGGTTTTGGAAAAGAAATCACAAGTGTAGTCTTGGGAAAGTTGATTTATATTGGTTGCTTCATTAAACATAAGAGAGAGTAAACTTGCTAACATTGAAAACAGAGAATTCTTTGAATCATTATTTATAATTTTAGCTGTAATAGATGAAACACTTTGTTTTTCATATAAAGGGCCCTTTAAACTTCGTACCACCTTCCCTTCAAGTGAGACTTCAAATTCCTTTCAAAAACCTAACCAACCTTTAGCAGCTTCAGCTTTCCTGATTGCCTCAAGCTCTGCTCTCTCTTTGGCCCTTGCAGCTTCTTCTTCCCTCTCACGAGCTGCTATAGGTTTGAGGTACTCTGAGGAAATGGTAAAAAAAAGGGTTTAGTGATAATTTTTTTAATGGGTGATTAAAACCTAAATTAACAATAAATACTGTTGAAAACTCTGCCCTTATAATCCAATTTGAAAGGGTTAATATAGGCTTTTAACAGAGCTTCCATTAAGCTTAGAGCTAAGGGGGCTTTGTATTGCATAAACAAGTGCACTAAAAACATCTGTGACGCCGTCAATCAAAGGGTGCTTTACATTTGCTGGTTTTATTTAACCTTTAAAACTGTCACTATGAATCAAACTTAACTCAGCATTTTAAAATAAAATCAAAACTAGTGACAAAAATGAAATAGGACATCACCAAAATAGAAACAAAGACTTTTCCCTAAGATTACATTTAATCTTCTTGTGGTGCTAATGTTGATAATTCCTGAGTGATCTAGCTGCCTGCTAGCTTTTAACTTTACATAGTCTTGTTAGCATCATTGTCTGACTCATCCCTCTTAAAAATCCATAATTATTGCCTCTCATAACAAACAAAGCTAGAGGGGGGGGATGAAACATTGGGGGGGGGGATAGGGGCTTACAATTGGATGTAATTTTGGTTTACAAGACAATGGGCCTTTATTGAAGGCTTTTGTAACTTTTGGGCAGGGAGCACAAAAAAGAATGAGCCAGTAAGAATGGTTGGTACTGTACTCCATGCTTTTACAATTTATATGATCAAAGTAAGAAGGAATTCCAATACGTGTAAAATAAAAATATTAAAGAAAATTGGGATGAAAGGTTTGAAGGTATTAAAAAATTATAATTACTACAAATTTGGGATTAACTTTTACCCATGAATGATATTTAGACAATTCAAATCCAAGAAATTCAAAATCATTGCAATATGTATTGTTCCTACTACTTAACCATTTCTTCTGTATCCATATGCCACACCAATGAGAAGAGCAGCATATCTTGAAAACTGTTATATTAATGAAAAATATAATAACATAAATTGATGACTGCTCAAAATATCTCTAAACGGATTGAAGTTTGCAATGTTTCTATTCCTTCACTGAACACAGATTATACACTACTACACTACACTACCAGAAGAGAGAGAATCAAGAAAGAACGTGATTATATTTAATAATACCAGACATAGAGCAAACTGTTTCAACCAATAATACACATAATACTCACATAAAACCATTCAAAACGTTGATCACTTCTTGAAGAAGCAAGTCTCCATTGTGACAATATTGTTTAATCATTACAACACAAAATCTGAACTATTGGCGTGAACTAGTTTCATACAGGCTTAAACTACGCGTTCACGAACTCCCTTCGATAAGAGCACATCAAGGTAACAGATTCGATGATTACGACTTACCCGAATCGCTGGATTCACATTGACCGGCATCTTTACCCCAGTTACGACGAGAAAGCTCCGCTATTCCAAGATGGCGCCTGTCAAAGCAACAGATAACCCAAGATGCATTGTACGAGAGGAAAAGATAAGATGGAGACTGGGGACCAGAAAGGAAAATGGCTCTTGCCTGGGCTGTACCCGAATGCGGATGGAGTAGGACCAAGATAGTTTGGGACTAGGGTTTGAGATTGGCCCCGCATAGCCGCGATCCATCATGATAACTAATTTGAGAGGGATGCTGCGGAAGGTAATTACCCACATACACTCTGTTTTTTTTAGCTACCGCCTTTTTAAATGCATTCTCGCGCATTGATATATAAGAAAGAGGCCTTCTCCCACACGAAATCATCTAGCCTGCGGTAAGTTTTGCAAGTTCCTTGAGTCGGCCTTGTTTCCACTTTGTTGATGATAAAAAATTGAGCTTTTCCACGGATGTCGTGTGTATAAAACTATACTTATCACAACGGCTAATCAAGAAAGAACAATTTCAAAAGAAGCCAGTGAAAAATCAGAGGAAACGAAGAAAGCAACCTTAAGCGGGAAAACGCTGGTGCTGAGCCAAGTCGCGATTTAGTTTTCCGTTTGATTAATAGAGAAAGTAGCATCATATTTTTTGACCAATCATACATCAACTAATTGAATGTTACTGCACTGCAAGCCATTCACAACTCACAACACCATTTGCCACATGGTCAAAATAATTATTTAATGAATACCAAAGAAATATTGCAATGTTCACACTTCACAACTTAAGCCTGCTTATAAGAGACGTCAACGTCAGCAGGATAATTCGTACAGAATGGCAAAAATACTTTAGATAGATATCAAAATACTCCTACATTGTATCAAGCGTGCTCACTCCTTAAAACCGGTTTGGGGGGGGGGTGGTGAAGAAAATGAATCTCAAGATTCAAAGCATTAAAATAAACACTTATAACTGTGTTATAAGTGTTTATGTCAATGTTACTCATTTATTTGTCTGTTCACACGTCGGCGTCCCTCAGAGATTTTGTTTCTTTGGTTAATCTTCTCCTATCTTTTTTCATTTTTTTAAAAAGGTTTTTAGAACTTTTATCGAGAACCGATTAAGAATATCCGAACGGTAATATAAATACGTCTTAAACTAAATAAATATATTTCAAAACAGTCACTGAAATAGTAAACTATCGGTAACAGCCATGTGCAATTAAATCGTCAACAGATCATTTCAGTTCAGAACCAACACACTTGGTAAATCAACAGCTGCCCTTTTGCTTGGAAAATATATCAACAGGAGGATGGCCATCTGACTGAGAGTTCTGTCTCGTGATTTCTTCGTTTATATCTAACAAGTAACGGTCTATGAATGTTCCCAAAACTAAGGGTGAGTTAAGGAATAACCTTGAGTTTTCTCTGCTCAACACGTTTGTTGCTTTGTCACACAAGACCTTTTTTCTAGCAATGTGTAAGAAATCTATATTCTCTCTAAGAAAAATAAAACATTTCAAGGTCACTCTGTCACGATAAAGCTTCCAAGCATTAAAACTCAGTAGTAGTTGTTGACTAGCAGCTATTCCTATACACAAGTGGGTTTACATTGCAACATTAAAGGATACGTGGATGATTGTAATCCTTGTCTCCAGTAAGACTGACGTAATGTAGGCCATTGTAAAACCAGCCTGGAGGCAGTGGATCAAACTTGTGCTTGGACTAAGCATGAAACAACAGTGATTTTTAAGTAATGAATGCAAATCAACAAAGCTAATCATCTCACAATAGCTGCTATTTATATATCACGACACTCCAGAACGCAGGAAATACAGATAAAAGAGTTTTATGACGAGAAAATAAACTTTTTCAACCGAAGTTCCTATATTGGTACACTATTCAGTGCCGCATTCTGTACTCAACGTTTAATGGCTCCATATAATGGCTGTATGTTACAGTAACTGACCAACGCTATAGGGTGTGGTCTGAAAAGAATCGTAATAACAGATGCACCGCACTCTTTCACGCGGTTGAGTCATGCTGAAAATCTGTGGTTTGGAGAAGGAACAAGGAATTTTCTATGCTATTACCAAACACTTGGATTGACCGTGGCCTCATCACCGTACTTACCCCAACGTTGGCTATTTCTTTCTCTGACAGATCCTCGCGCGTTTTTAACTTCTGTTTCCCTGGTGCCTACAACCAACATGTTTTGATCTGTAAATGAAGACTACGGGCGATAACCTACACTGGCTATGAAAATGGAGTGTCTATCACAGCCAGTCGGTCTGGTCTGACGTTATAAAGGAGATTGGTTGAAAAGAAAACTAACAGAGAAAGCTTCATCAGTCTTAAAACACACATTTCTTTCCAAAAGTTTACTCGACAATACACTTGGAAGTGTAACAGGGAGTTCTCCACCGAACTTTCGACGCGATTTGATCCCGCCTACTTCCACACAGTTTATGTTAATCTTTGACCCAAAATAGACAGAAACCTGTCTTAAATTTCACTGACAATGCAATGAACACCAAAAAAAAAAAAATCACATTCCAACTTTTTTTTACTGAAGGTCACAGTTTTGCGCACGTTGTGTTCATGAGTAGGGCAGCTAGATTTTCACAAACAAGTTTGCAGGCATCATAGTTGTACTGCGATAGTTAACATACCGGTTTACAACAGGTTTTGAGCCAGTCCTTTAAAGCCTGTTCTTGAAGACTAAATCCAGTGAAAACAATAAAGTACTCGTGGATTCCCTCCACAGTGCCATTTTGTTGGGCCTTTGCTGAAGGAGGTCGCGGAACAGCAGAACTGTCTACGGGGCTCATTTTTAGCAATCCATTCAGACGGGACCAGTGAATGTGTACCTTTTTATCAGGATCTTCTTTTGGCAGAAACAAAAAAAATTGAGAGAGCGTGATGAGGCAAGACAAAAGTTTTTGTATCGTTACACTGATTCAATGTTCAAAGAGAAAGAATGCATTGGCTCTGTTACCTGAGAAACAGGCATGCCCTTGTAGGCTGTGAATTGCCCCTATGATGGAAAAGATAAAATAATAGTGATATTAGACTAATAAGCTGCAGGGCAGCAAGAGAACAAAGTAAACCACCCAAGAGACTGAACCAACCTGTTGAATGTATCTCCTTAGATGATATGGGTCCATGGAGCGCTATAAAAAGAAGCAGTGAACTTCATGGACTGCTCAATGATTCATTAAGGTAATTATTAGTTGAAAAACAAATTGACTGAATTAACTTTGCTAAAATGTCCCACCTTTAAGGTTCGAAACAAATCTCTGCCTGCTTAGTGGTCCATAGAATGCCACACCAATCTATTAATAAAAGATCAAAATTTCCCTCAGCTAAGTTAAATATGTCCACCATGATCTATTCACTTTAACGTCAGATCGCGCACCGAGGTTAGCTTTGCTGATATCTAAAGTCTGATTACAGCAGACACTCCTCGATCTCATCTATAAGCACACTACGGAATGTGTTTTTTCACATGCACTGTGAAACGTTACTGATCATAAAATCATTTAATTCCAACAAGTGCATTGTGATTTGTCAACGCGTAACTGTCTTAAAAAATACCTCATTAATTTGCGGTTCTGTGATTCCAGTTGAAAACAAACCCAAAGACCTTTAGGATAAAAAGAAGCTAAAGTTGATATCTGTACAATAATTGATATTTTCGACTTGAAGGTTTTGATCCATTTTCTAAGTTATAAACCTGTAATCTTTGCCAATGTCTTGATCCAACTATATGTCTGAAAAAGCTAAATGTCTTTCACTTTGGAGTTCTTTGATCTTAGATTGTCGATCAAACATGCACAAGAAGCGGCCATACAGTAGTAAACAGCAAAAAGCGAGTAACAATTGCACTACTGATAAAGGAAAAAAAAAGCAACAGGAAAGAGAAAGGAAACAGCCCTCGAACCGTAAGTTGGTTGTCGCTATCTTAAGTAACTTACCAGCCGGGACACATTAGCTCTCTCTTCTGTACCATCCTGTCCTCGTCAAATGCACTGTCTGACAGAATTAACTCAACATCAGGTGTCCTATAAGCATACCACAAACACTATCAGCTGCGTTCAAACTGGCATGTAGCACAGAGCTGTAAGAGCTCTTTCTTCACAAATAAGCAGGAAAGCTATAGGCTACCTTGTAACTTCCCCTCCTTTAGCGAGAATAAAAGCCACATCCGGGTTACAAGCTCGCACCAGTTTCTGGACAAAGCTGAGCTGCTCATTCTAGAGAAAGACAAATTTGTAATATAGACTACGAACTTAGCATAAATAAGATCGGTTGCGTTAAATGTTTCAAAAGACGTAGAGGTTCTGAGGGAAATTTTACCTGAGGCTCCAAACAGCTTGTAAACACAACATTGTTAACCCAGCCTGTTCAAATAAGAAAATAGTACAAGAAAATTTTAACACATACTGGCGTTCTTGTAAAAAATGGAACAAAAACTTAGTTGGACCCGTAGATATGAGTCAATTCAGTAATTCCCTTTAATGTACATGTGTGGAAAAAGCCTGTTGTCCGACGCTCGAGCTAACAAAGAGAGCTTCTTTCATCCGGTCATCTTCAATTGCGACATGTGTTGATAGAGTCTCTACACTCAGAACAATACATGCACATCGTAAGAACTGAATTTGTTTGTCACAAACCTTGAGCGCACTGTTCCAGTAGCATAGGCAATGTCAGTCTATTGAAAAAACAAACAAACAAACAAAAGACTTTCCATGAATGTTTTTCAAGTTAGGAAAGAATATCACTCAGACGATATCTGTATCATGGATTTTCTCACCTGTGCTCCATAAAGGTATTAAGCGGGTCTACACAGCATGTGACAGCGCCAATCTTGACACACTTGGACATCTCAGCATCAGGGTGAGTCCTTATGGCTTGAATAACCTCTGCTACATCAGTAAACCTTACAAACAATCGAAAGAGCTCATTATTCTCTGACAAACTCAACACTACTTCCCCCCCCCAATAACTTCACGGTATTACTCGGAGCGCCTTACCCTGGTGTGACCACAATTACTCGCAGTCGTCTACCGATGGCTGAGAGCCTGGCATGCAGGCGTCGCTGACTTGACAAAGTTGTGGTCAGTGATTCTTGTAAAACTGAAACAATAAAAGAAGACAAAATTGAGAGAAAAAAGTTTCCTGATGAAGGACCAGGGCTAAAATCCTAACGAAGAGAAATAAAGTTAACGCAATAAGGCAATTTCAATTCGAAACAATAACGCTGTGCTCTCTTACTCACCCCACCCTCCTCTTCTTTTTCGCGGAAAAAGGATAGGTCCCGGATATACACGTCCATGCAGAACAAGGGTCTAGGTTCCCTTACAAACTACTCTGAAATCGCACTCTGAAGTCTTACTCTAATATTGTAATTAAAACTCGAAATCATTGTACTCTCTAATTATAAGAACGAGGCGAGGCCATTTCTCTCCATATTCGTCAAAAGATGACTTTCTTTCCGTTTGTTCCTCAGAAACTGTTAGTTCCGTATCGAGAGTGAAAAATTACCGACCAAAAATATCTAGACTGACAACACCAAGCCTGGCTTAAGATACTAGACAACACACCTTTAGGGTCAAAAGTATCTGAATTACTGGCTGGCCTCTGTAAGATTATCCACCTGTCATAAAATAAGAACCGTGTTCATGATCAATATAAATAACATACAGGCCCTCATAAACAGATTATAAACATTTAACATACTTGCTGTTTTCCTTGGCAAGTGCTACAAGAGCTAAACACAGAGACTCTTTACTGCTACCAGGGACACCAGTTAGGATGGTTAATAATAACTGAAAAACAACAAACAACGCAGCTGAATTAAAGTGAATCAATGAAACGAAGAGGATATAGTAATTCATCTTGAATTTACTTTTGTAGTGTTAAATCTTCAGCCTTTTTAACACTGAATGCCTGTATATCGTGTCCCGTATAAATCATAACCATTACAACTGGGATCCTACACGTACAAGTCCAGGGGATCTCAAATAACAACCAACTTTCCTTTACCTCAAAATCCCTTGACTGCCTCCCTTGTTCTACGCGCTTATTTCCTAGAATCACAGGTAAACCATCACACATAACAGGCGTGTTACCAAACGAACTGCTCACGGAGCAATGACACAGGAAACTGAAATAAAACGAGAAGAATAAAGTAATTGTACGTGATACATCACACCAGTGTTTAGTACGGTGCATCACATCAAGCAACTTGTACAAGAATTATCCTCACCCTTTTAAATTTGTTAGCAGTACTTCAGCTGTAGATAGATCCTGTATATTCGATCCTCTTGAAAGCTTTAACAAATGTTGCAAATTCACGTGCCTAAAAGAATTGAACAATCACTCATGTCACATGTACATGTTGTGGTTCAAATTTATCTTTGGTTCAAATTTTATTTTCTTTTGTTATTGGGTATTGTAATGTATGATAATGAGATTGAAACAAAGGAAAATAAAATTTGAACTAATGATAAAATTGAACCAAAACATACACATCAAAATGAAAGGATACATGCAATTCTCAAAAAATTCATACTCACTGTTCTTTTAAATCGTACGGCAAATCTGAAAGCGCGTGAAAAAAAAATGAAAAAGAAAAAGATGAGTTAAACCTCTAACTACTCAATGCCCAAATAGGAAAATGAAAAGAAACTTATCTCGGAGAGTGAGAAAGCCTATGATTATTGGAGTAAGCCTGAGTAAAACCTCTTTACCAAGCTTCAGAGGGAAATCTCTCTATCTTACCGTCAACAGTTTCAAATTGTGGAAAGTTTGGCAGCTGCCCTTCCTTCCACAGGCGGATCACATCAGAGTAAAATTGTCTGTAAATTCTGGAACGAGGCGTGAGAGCCAACAGCACGTGACTCTGTTTGACTGAAAGGTAATAGGGTAGACTTTCCTTTGAACTGGGATGATATGAAATGATCAGGAGAGCACAGGACGTGTCCTACCGCAAAGAAGTAAACACATATATTAGAATTCCTCACTCACAAGTCACTTTTCTGAGTTAGCAGTGGTATAAATAACTACAAATCAAAAGAGGCAACCAAAGGAACGTTCATTTAAAACCATACCTTGTCATAAAACTGAAGTTTAGATATCTTGGACGTTTGTAGCACAATGGAACCAGTTCTGGGATGAACAAACACAAAGCCTTGCTCATAGATAAACAGCGAACCTGGAAATCAACAGCACAGGCGTTGATATCCTTTGTATTTATTTTATACATGTATATCCGAGTAGAATTCATAATCTTAATTTAATTTAAGGTCAATTACATTCAAAGTAGCCCCTTCAAAAGCATCTCACTTGTCATGGAAATAAAGAGAGTGATTTTATTTTCAATAAATCCTGTAAGTCCCTTGTTGAAAAGGAAGTATGTACCCTGGATCTCAATCAGAAATCAAGGGTCAAAAGTCAAACATCCCTTTCCCAAAAGAAAACACAAGACTTCATAATTATACATATATAAGAAAAGAATCTGAATTAACCTGTTTCCCAACTGTTCACCAAACTTGAAATAAAAACTTGGTTACCGCACAGTAACTGTTTTCCTAAAACATTGCTATCAGCTTTTGACTGTAAACAGAGAAAATAATAAACAGGATGTGTAAGATGTGTTTCTAATTATTTTGAGTTAACAATGAAACAACAGAAATCAAGTATACTAACCCATGTAATCATCTTCAGTTATTGAGATATGCATTTTCTTGTGTCAAAATGCTTTATTTTAAGTAAACATTTAAAAGTCATGCTGGTCAAAGTCACCTTGGCAAATGACTCAATCTCCTCAGAAATCTGTCTGTCTTTGCCATACCCCTGGGAGAATAGAAAGCATATTACAATACTTTTTTGGCCACTCGTCGTCTCAAGAGAAGAGAATAATCATAATACTATGGCAATGGCCTGTTTAAAACACAGAAAAACTTAATATCTTATTATACCTGCCATGTAACAAATCTGGGGATGTTTTCTGTCAGGAAAACAAACGAGGTGTCCCATAAGTGTGACCCACCTGGAAAAAAAGGAAATCATGCCAAACATTCACTTCATGTTTCAATTGCTCTGTGATTCTCTTACATAATACCAAGCACGCTCTAACTACTTGATTTAAGCATTATGAGAACTGATTTGGGTTAAGCAAACATCCACTGTGTACCTGGGACAAGTGTCCTTATGGCAGAGTCAAGGAAAGATTCACCAAACACCACAGAACCCAAGATCTGCCCAGGGTGCTCTATACTTGGTATGTCATACAAATACAGACATGCCTGAAACAACACACAACAAAGCAAAAACAATTTGAAAAGTGAAGACATTGGGAAGGCAAAAACAAAAAAATTTTCAGAAGATCAATGTTATCAATGCATACAGTGTACACAGTATCAAGGAATAACAATAAAACTCTACGAATTAAATGTAAACAGTCAGTTTTAAATATCTTAATATTAAAAGCTTACTTTTTTAATACCAGAGATTGGTATATCCTCATGTAAATCAACACTCCTAGAAATGAAAGATAATAGAATTAATATTAATAATAATTAACAAACTTTACAAAATGTATTTAAATGTGCAAGTTTAATTTCTTGACAGTAAACAATTCAATAGCAGAAAGTAATATGTACCTCCCATAAAAATCACAAGCTTCCACAGAAAACTTCACATTGTTGGATAAAAAGGAAGATTTCACTTCAATATGTCTTTCTTCCAAACCTTGCTTGAGCTCTGACAGAACACTTGAAAAACTCTTAAAAGAGGTGAGGGAAAGTAAAAGCAAAGATCAAAAACACTTCATTTCCTATAAGGTTTCAGTTGCCCATTGTGTTATTTACCTTTCTTTCATTAAATGTTTGTGAAAATGTCTTGACTCCTTCCAACACAGCATTAATTGACAGAAGATAAAGTTCCATTAGCAACCTGAATTTAAATAAAGAAGACAAGTGTTCAAGTCCTTCCACATATATTGTAGAGGCATGTGCAAAGTCTAAAATGACTTACTACTGTTTATTAGGCTTTGCTGTTAATAGCCAATGTTACATACCTCAAGTCCTTATTATGCATAACTGACTCATTCTTTGCTGCATCACTCACTGAACATAGTGCACATTCAGTTTGTAGAAAATATGTTCTTGCACAAGTTATTCTTCCTTTAGGTTCCACAGCAAAAGAGACCTTTGAAAAATTGTTTAAGGCTGAAAGTTATTGTTGTAGTTTAGGTTGTGTGTCTACTATTTTGGATTGAAAGCATTAGTTCAGCCTACTTGACTAGCCTGTCCAACTAAATGTTGCATTTGTAAACAAGGGTATTGTCCTTAGATAAAAATTTTCTGACATCTCACCATATGTTTAGCAGGAGCACCATTAATGCCACTATTTCCAATTGCAGTGTTATTATTAGAAGTGGTTTTTTCGCAACTGTGTATATTTTTTCTTGTGGAGTGGGCTCCCAGGAGAACAAAAGGTTGAGAATCTTCTGGGGAACTGCAAGGAGAACAAATCAATCAGTCAATAAGTAAATCAATAGATTTCTTTCAGGCAGTTGATTCTGTTTTACTTTTATTGCTACGTTAACTCATCATCAGAACACATCGCTAGATACTTATCAAGAGGTCAAGTGCAACTTCTACAATATGACCTCAACTACAGGCCTCATGTATATTGAGCATTTATAATTCAAAATCAGTCTTTCTTGAAACCTTTGTGTAAATCTCTCTCTACAGAAGCTGTGTACTTTTTTAAATAAAGACATTTAGTTCTTGTCCAAACTAGAGTATTACCTCTTAGCAGTGCTCCTGTCGACAATGTGTCCATGAGTAAAGTAACTCACAATGGGCTTCAAGAATAAAAACACAATGATGGCAAGGAAGTTTCTCAAAATTGACCATGTCATACCTAAGCTTCCCATATATAAACAGGTGTTACTCTTTCCTTGATCTTCAGCTGAGAAAGGGAAAGTGGCTGATACAAATCATATCATGACTACGATGCATATTTAACAAATAACAGCTTAAACACCACAACTGAGTAAGTAACACAAATTTGCACCCAGCTAGTGTCATTTTTAAAAGTATTTTAGCATGTGTCCTTGTCACCAAACAATCACACAATGAGGAAAATATTCACCATAGTTCCTTCTAGGCCAGGTGTGCAACTAACCTCGCTCAAACTTCTCTCTGTTACTTTAAGAAGCTCAGTTGGGCTGCAAGAAATAAAGAGATTTCGTCCTTAACGAAAACCTGTTTAAGATATTTAGATGGCACATTTGAATCACCAAGAATCAACTCCAACTTTCATGAATACAAGGGATCAAAACAGGAACCAAACTGAATCTTGTGGAAAAGTTAACCAAAATACAGTAAAAAGCTAGTTGTGTGACACTTTGAAGGAAAGTTGGGATTATAACGTATAAATGCCTTCCAGGACCATCCAATTACAATTGTAACAATTACAGTACAGTGGGTAGTCATTGTTCTCCCTCCTTCCCTCCTACCATGGTTCTCACAGAGACTGTTAGCTGGTATGACACATTAACACTATGTTACACTCACCTCTCTGCATCCACATTTGAAAGAATGGATTTACAATGACGTTCAAACAAAGGAAGAGTCTGGAGGAAAGCAGGGAAAGAAAATATAGTACACCTTTGTTAGTGACTAAATTTAATTCTAAAACTAATTTCAATATGTTCAGGATGGAATTATAACCCTAGAGAGATTTAAAATGGCGACTACTGAATTAAAATGTACCCTGTTTAATTCTTACAACAATTTTCAATTGAGTGTCCAGAGTAATCTGCAATTGCTTTGGTTTTGCCTTACTTTGCTCTTTGATTTGTCCAGAAAATGTGTGCCACTGTTACAACCAACCACATTCGAGACTAAAACCAATCAAAGTTGGTCACTTGCTTTTTCCCACACTTCATGCAGTTTTCTTTCCCTAAATTCAACTTCTTAGGTTAGCCATTGAGATGCTTTTTTTTGTATGTATTGTGCAACACTCAATCAAACAGTGATTCCTAAATTACTTAATTAGCCATTAATTTTAGTTACCTCTGTGATAAGGGTTTCTACAGCCACAGGGTCCACCAAGCCATAAATCTGGTCCAGTTCTTGAGTGACATCACTGACCTAACCATTGATAAATACAGTAATCATTAAAGATTCTTTTATCACAAATGATGTGGACAGCCATGTCCTCGACAACATCTTACCACCACAAGGCTCTTCTTTATCAAGGGGTATAATGGGGCACAACACTGACCAGATAGGGAGGGGAGGGGGGTTAAAGAGGAAAGTATTAGTCCCTCTAAGAAGGATGCCATATCTGATCATTTTATGTTTCCAAAACTGCGATTAACTCCAAAAGCCACACTAATCAGTCTTACCTTTGCAAGGTAGAGTTATTGTAAAAACTTACTGTCAACCAGAATAATAGATGCATTTGTAATCAGCCAAGATTAAAAAATTTCCTCTTACCCTGTGCTTCATAGTGAAAAATCCCCCACTGCAGAGGCAAAAAGATAATAAATTAATGATTATTGCATCATACAAATAACACTCTCCTTAAAGACATGACAATAGACTACATAAAAACAAGGGAAACAAAAACAAGCAGAGCACAGTTTTGTTACAAGCAAAAATTTATTAAAAGTGATTAATACAGTAGACTGTGGAAGCAAAAAGTTATCAGGTGAGAAAGGTATATGTTACCTGCCAAAACCCTCCAGTGCAAATGCTTGAATTAGGGGCCATTTTTCCAACACAAATGGGTCAAAACAAGGCTGCTGATCACCAGGGGTGGGTACTAATAAATAACAACATATTGTTAGCTTACCACTTACAGGGATGTCAGTTTTTAGGCTAACATACTGGTTTTCTCCAAGAGACTTGTATTTCTTTCACAGTCTGGATACTCAGTGCAAAACAGTTGGAAATTAACAGCCACATTTGAGTAGTTCTCCATTATAATGTCACTTCTTACATAATCTAAAAAGTTCAAGATCCAGTAGCTTTTATGGTAAATATTTACACTTCATCCAGTACACAACATGCATGTTCAATAGAAAACACAAGCTGACAAAACAATTGCAGTCATCATAAACTACCCAAAAAAACATTTATCTATGTATAATGAAACAATGAATAGCTACAAGTTTGTTTGTCCTCAGTAGCCATGTTGTAATTTAGTGCTATTACATCCTAACCTATTCTTTAAAACAATAAACTGCCAACAACAATATCAAACAAAAGGACTACCTCATACATACCTGATGAGGCAGATGTATTCAGCCATGTGTGCATGTGCAATTTTCTGATGTGCACAATTTTTTTTCATTTCCAATTGCATGCAATTTTTGGTGCGTTTTATTCTTGTTTTTTGGTTAGAGTGTACACAAGCGGTACTGTAGAAATGGCAATCCTACATACCTCCATATGGTATACCAAGACAATCACACCCCTCTACCATGGATATGAAACTTAGAATCTTGAATTCTTCAGCCTTCTCTTCATTATCTATATACTAAATGCAAATTGTCATCAAAGACAGAAAAATTAAAATCAAGATGTAGCACTCTTTGTCTTATTTTACCAACTAGTTAATAAAATTAATCTAGTCTACCCAGGGCTACAAGTTACATGTATGTTGTTTTTCATGAAGGTTCACTCACTGTATGAGGATGCTACAGAGCCAGGTCTGAATGGATATTTGGCAAATCAAGTCACAATATTTAAAAAATACATTTAAAATAGTGAATGATATTAATTGTCCAAAGCAATTCCAAGACAAACCTATAAAACGTTAGAGTATTCGCTCTCACTCTTTGAGAGATGACTCTTTACTGAATGTTCTTAATGCTAAGTCGGGTTTTGGTGGAAAAACTTTTGAATTTGCTGCTGTAAGAGACTGGAACTCTCTACCAAGTGATATCAGAACTATAACAAATCTCAGCACCTTTAAAAGTAAACTCTGAATTTTTATTACAAGAGAATCACAATCAACATAAATGCTCTTTGGCTTAACTGATTAGTTGAATTATTATTTTTTTAATTAATACAATGTTCATAGAAAATATGTTATAGATACTAATAAGGACTATGTTATAATTTATTTATTCTTGTAAATTCTTATTTTTACTATTTTGTATCATGATATTTTTAGTCCTTTTTTATGAATTTATTATAATTTTATTATATACAGATTTTATACTATATATATGCACATGGGTTAATACCAGATAGTCTTTTTAGTCTATCTGATCCATTATTTTGCATTTCAAATAGAGATTATTGTTATTATTATTATTATTATTATTATTATTATTATTATTATTACTATTATTAACACAAACACACACAGTACCAGTTCCTTGTCAAGGCAGTGGACACGTAGATTCCTCCAATGTGCAATGTGTGGCAGCAGCAGAGGATAGTTGATTGGATTACAGTACACATGAACACTTTCTGCCTTCACAACAACCAGAATGTCTGCCAACAAACATATAACATCAAAAAGACATTTTTAGCTAGAAGTTCATACTGCATCAGTGTATTCATTATAAGTAACAAATATGGGTTTTAAGAAATTCTTCTAAAACAAAAAAACTGTAGAACATTGCTTGTTACAACTCTCCCTCTTTAGGATAAACTGTGTCCATCCTCATTACCTCTAAACACCTGACCATAAAAACCTCAGGAAAAATTATAAAACAGCACAACTGTACCAATAAAATGAAAACAAATTTTAACATGATGGTTATAATCAAGAATAACAATGTTGCAGTACAAATATGCATTGGAAATACAATTACCTTCTAGCTCCTCTTCTGTAATTTTACTTCCACTGTAATAATAAACATCACAATTGTAAATTAGTATTATTCTCAGATGTATTTTTATATAATTGACTGGGTCAGAAAGGGAATGATTGTTTTGACACAAAGAAATGAGACCAAGAACTTGCACCAGAATACATGTTTCCACATACTTAAAGCAACAGTAATGTCATACCATTTGATAAGAAATTTTCTCACTTCAGTGTGGCCTATGGATATGTTTTGTGTGAATGCCTGCTTGAAAAGTTCAGAGGTGACTGCATTTCACATCTGTGGTTTACTCTCACCATTCTTTTTCTTACCTAAAATCCATTGGTGCGAGTTTACAAAAGCCAAAGAGTAAGTAGTTGAGAAGGTTTTTAGTTCCACCATTGTACCTAAAACAGTCCCATTAATTGTCATTAAATAATTACTGGTGATCAAAAGGTTTTAACTTTGTTCAAGATTTATTTATAATAATAATAAAAATAATAATTTAATGCTCGTAAGTTTAAACAGCATAATTTTAATATATTTTTTCACAAATAATTAAAGAAACCATAACAACATCAAACATGAAAATATGGTAATGAGAGAAGTACAGGTATCTTACCTGCTATCAATACCTGTATAAGCAAAAAGGAAGATAATATCATTTGTTTATAACAAATTATCAAACATGTGCAAAGGGGCAGCTAAAGGCTCAATAAAAATATTGGTAGTTAATTTTTACACAAACAACTTGTCAGATGTTGATATATGCACATTTTTAATCAAGTGCTAGAACAGCCTAAAACAGACTTGCCCGTCAGTTGTCCTTTCTTAAAACAGAGCCTAAATTAACATATTCACCTTCTTATTAGATCAAGAAAAATGAATGGCTGTTTTTATCATACATCATTTGGCAAACAGGAATACAAAACACTGAGACTTATCAGGTAAAAGTTGTAATCCTGATCAAATACCAATTTCTCATAACTAATTAACAAGGAAATGCGTAGCAGCAAAATTAACAATCAGATCTTTGGAGCAATAGGCTTTGGCCTGACTTTTTTACTAGTGAAAACTTTCCTGGAAGCATCTTGTATATGCTACCCCTCTTGAATGGAATTAAAAGTTTCCCAAATTGGTTAGGTTTTCCATCCAGTTTGCTGGTGTGTAATCATACCCATGACTATTTGTGTGTGACAATATGATGACATGCCTAAGATACAACACAATTACTATGGCCAGGGGTCAAAAATGCACCTCAAAAACATTCAGATGGGACAGCCAACCAGTGGAGTCACCACTAGCAGCACACAAAGTCATCTCTAGAAATGTTTTATACCACAGTGAAATGACACAAATTATTTAAATTTTAAATTTTAATTTCAGTCACCATTACATGTACACTACATATAATTTATATGGCACAGCAAAGTTACTTGCATGGCCTAACAATACACCTATGGGTGGCTACTGAAAAATATTTGTTTCAGAAAATTTGCACTCTTACCAAGTATACAGAGGATGCCATCTATCTTGGAAAGTTGATTTTTATCGCACCTTAACAGCTCCTGCACCTTCCGTAACCTTGCACAACTGTAAAGTATCCATAATTTTGTGACAACACATTAATCATATGCAACATAAACTTTACCAGACTGAAGAAATTGTACTATTTTTGACATCTGGAAATTTTCCTCTAAACTAGCCAGAATAGGATATCAGCACATGCCTAGTTCCCCTTAAATTGTTTGGGTGGAGCTTCCAAGAGCATTAAACTCAGCTGTGCCTGAGAACATTGTCCTTCATCACATAGTGACAAATGTGTGGCTTATACAAACAAAGCCAGCCCAGTAGATCTAAAACTTTGGAATGGAGCTTACATGACCAAGAGGAATTTTTTTAATGAAGAAACAAAGGAGCTGCATTAAAAAGTATGTCATGCAAATGTTTATTCACAATTTAACTTTGGACTATGAACAATAAATGATGAAAATATTACAACTTGCTATAGGACTGCCAATCACAGTATGCCAAATTGCAACTAAAGCTGCAAATTTGGTAGCAAGATTTTTTTTTCCTTGTCTGAAAGAACAAAATGTTTGCTGCTTGAGCATGAGGCACTATACTCTAAAGAATCAATATATATGTAGAGCCTTTTGAGCTAAATGATCTTATAACAAATTAATGAACATTTAAGCCTAAGGTTGATTTTATTATACCTTTTCTACAGGTATGTTTAAAACTAAGTTGTCAAACATTCACTTTAAAAAGGGAAGGCATAAAACGCATGACTTATGTTCCTTTGATGATAAGCTTATTAGATATCATTTTGTGGTTCCCTTAGTATAGGGTATTAACCATCACTGACAATTCTCTCCAGATTACAAATTGTAACAGTTTGGGAAAAGATACTTGACTGCTAATAGTTACATGTACTATATATCCTTCCTACTCTTACCACAAAAGTGATAAGGTAGCTAGAAGGTGTAGATTTTTCTAACATTACAAGGCTCTGTGATGACAGGGGCTGACAGGTAACCAACAACAAAGTAAAACTAATGACTGAAGAATTCACAACAAAGTCCACTTATTAGCTTCAAATTCAAATTTCTTGTCAACAGCAGGAATTATGACATAGATGAAAAAATAAAACAGCAATCAAAGGCAGTAATAATTTTAAAGTTATGTATATTTATTACAGAAAAATGTTCTCAGCAAGAGGTCACAAAAAAATTTCTATGGTATTTCTACTTTAAATTACTTTTAAACGAAGGTAACACTAATTGTGGACTACTAATCTTTAAGAGTCACTGTCCTTTGTAATTTAACTCTCACAACTGGCATGAAATTAGCACCACAAAAAAATACATTTGAATTTAATATTCTTGAGTAAAAATTTCAAATTAAAGGTAAACAAGGACAGCATGATATTGTTCTGCATAAGGCCATTATGGACTTTTAGATTACCCTGACCATGGACAAACCCAAACACACAACAAAGGTTACTTTTTGATGAAAGATGACTTCTGCTCAAATTGTCTTAATGTATCTGCCAAAAAAACAGGTTCTTCTCTCCACTATGATGAAGTTCCTCACACTTGTCAAATTTTCAGACGAAAGAAGACAGTTAAATATCAATAACTTTGCCAAATAACTCATTTCAAAGGTGTAAACTTCAAAGTAAACACCAAGAATCATCTAGAGCCACCTGGCCATGCCAATGTTTGATTTTGATTCAGGTTAGTAACAAATTAACATAAAAAGATGCCAACTTCAAAGAAATCAGGTGAAAGAGAGCAAAGTGACAAACTCCAAAGCAATAAAAATTTTCCATAACTTTAAACATCTTCCTTCCATTTAGTTGTCTTTTTTAGTATTTGTGACTTAATGGAGGATTTCACCCTTCATATTAATATTAAAATATTACAATGAGACACAAAGGACACTTCAAAGGGAGGAATTTGTTAACTGGCTGGGTAGTATTTGAACACATGGTGAAATGTAAACTTATCAGTGAAACCAAACATGCCAAACAATTGATGCAAACTAATATTATATTTCTGTGGTTACATAAATTGAAACAACAACATAATCCTGTAAGACTTAGAGGCTGCTTGGTCCAACAGTGGGAAAATGGTTCCATAATGACATTAACAATTATGGGGAATATGTTACGAATTAATTTTAAAAAGCACTTCCTTAAAAACTTTATTTTTTAGTATAAATTTGACAGATATTGTTTCACTGGAGGAAAAAATCTGAATAAAGAGGAAAGGTAGAAAGTCTGGATTAACTAATCAACATACACTTTTCCATACATAACAATAATTTGGAAATAAATGAGACAGAGCAAAGAACATTGGAGCTCAACCTTTCAACTAAATGTAATTCTGCTTTTTTTCAGGCTTTTAAACCCTTGATATCCAAATGGTGTCATGTACAGCGTAGATTGTATTACTGCTCTTGTTGTTTTGTTCATTTGCAAGTTTAATCATGACTGCTTTTGATTGCTCTCCATAGATCACAGACAGTTCTGTCTTTGTAATTCAAACTATGATTACATCAGAAAAACAAACAGACCACAGCTGAGAAAATCAACAGTTCATTTGGAAATTTCTAGCATATTAATGACAAGAATGCTCTCATTTAGCAATGAACTTGATCCAAACTTTTGGCTTTTACTACATGGTGCTCTCTTACTTTGCTTTTAAATATATAAATGTTCCAGTAAGTCATTCTGATAAGTATGGGAAATGACAATGGGATTTAAACACATGGGAGAAATAAGGAAAAAAAACTATTCTCTATTACTAAGTCAAAGAAAAAATATATGCCCCTGAATGACTTTTTATACCACATCAGGTCTACGTGGTTAAAAGCAAACACTAATAACAACTAGCACAATTTTTGAAGAAAGGCTTCACATGACTTTGTGCACAAGGATTTGTATTAACACTGCTACCATGGAATCCCAATAAACAGTGGTTTGCAATAGAAATCTTTCTATTTTACTAAATAACCTTATTAAGGATCACTTGATCAGCTCAACTGTGTCTAGTCCCAATAATTTCCATGAGCTATAAAGATCACAAAGACTACACTATCACCCTAACTCAGCATTTAGGACTGAAGACTTTAAAATGAGACAACATTTTCACATTTCAAGTGAAAATCTGTCTTCCCACACTAATAACAAAGAGAACTGAACACAAACATACAAATAACCAAACACTTCTTTTATCCGGGTGCATAATCACAGTCTACTACCATAGTCTTCCTTAAGGCCCCTAGACATTAAAACAAACATTAACAATACTGTGGTACAACTATGACTCTTCTTTTTGAGGATTTGTTCAAACAACTTGAACGATGTATCAGGAGAGAACAACAGGGATCCAACCCCAACTTTCTTAAAAGTTGCCATACAGCAACCTGAAATGGGAACCAGAAATAATAATTTGCTCATGAAATATTGATTACACCTCCATTCTTAAGAATATCGAGCATGGCTATCATTAATTTTTGAAAATTCACCCAACATCTCAAGGCTCAATATTCAACCAACCAAAGAGGAAGAAACATGTTTTAAGGGGAGAAAATAACAGAGCATGAAAAACTTTTTAGGAAAAATTTTTACTCACTTTGACTTGGGACCATAAAACTAAGTCATAAAAATGTCACAGCTTATTGAACAACCAATTGGCCACTTACATGGCAATAAAGTACCCAAAATAATTTCCTTATTCAAAAGAGTTGCTGCTTGATGCACTTATCAAAACAGTCAAAGTTAATATCTTAGCCAAAGCTATTGATTTGCCAAAGCTAATGAGCTCTGATTTGGTATGGCCTTGCCACCAAAGTCTTCCCAGCATTAATATGAATACAGTCAACTATCTTAGTTTATAGCAACCTTTGGTGCAGGAAAACATGGTTGCTCAAGAGAAAAATCCAAGCAAAAACCCTAAAGCATTTGATTATTTCTGCTCTTATATTTTTTTCCTAAGGAAAAAAGTACATGGAGTTCTTCAAATAAAAGATTCTCATCAAATGGATATCATGCAATATTATAAATGACTGTTCATTACTATTTCTTGCCGCACCTGGGAGGTTGCCAATTAGAAACACACACAAACACACTCTGAGAAAATCTTAGTAGTTGTTATTGCACAAGAAATTTGAGCAGCTATAGCAACTATAAAATGTTTTTTAAAAAGATTTCACTAACAAAAAGTTATTCACAAATTGATTCCTCAAGGGAAGTGGTTGCTTAGGAGAGTGGCCTGTTCCTATTCTTCCAGACATGTTTTAGAGTAAATCAGTGTTTTCCTTATATGTCAACTTGTGCTTACAGCTTACACTGCAGGAGCTAAAATCTAAATTATCTAACGGGACATTTTTGTTCCATGATAATTAATGCACAATTATTGGTGTGCACACATTTACCATTGCTGTGTAAGAAACTTACCAGACACTGTTTTACGATTTATAAGTCAGAGATAAGGTTCCACAGAGTTAGCAATGATTTGCACACAGTTCTTAATATTATACTTTTTTGCTTATAATCTCTAGTTGAATCAGTCATGAAAGAACAGTGAATAGAATGCTGATTTACACTCTTTTTCAAATTATCACTCTTCACACAGAGTTGAAGACCTAAAATACACACTACTGATCCATGACTAATGACATCAATTTACAGCCTTTTTTTTTTCCTCTGTGAGAAGCAAGGACATTGATGAATAGGAATGTCTCACAGTGACAGATAAACATGAGAAGTTTGGTGTTCTTGAGACAAATTTCAAACAATACTATTAAATAATCAATTTTTTATAACAAGGCTCAGTTTGAAAAAAGTTCAATGAATACTGAAGCCAAGCTTCTTGTTTCTTAAACACAATACTCAGTAAAATTAAAGTACCACTTTGGTTGCTAGGAAATGTGCAATTTAATAGGCCATTCATGATTAAAGCCTTCAAAATTACACATAAGGACAGGTTGGGAGCAGCCCAACCCCAGGTGTACATACATTGTACTGAAGAAAGCCTATTGCCTGTCAGCAACAGTTTGAGCTGTTTGTGTCAACCTTCAAACATTTGATGTCTGTTTTTGTCACATCATACATATTTGGCTTGTTTATAAATACTATCCTGAAATCCACTTTACAAAGATGCCAAAATTAACCATGTGGAAATACATTCCATGTGATGAATTGGTTAATTTTTTTCTGTAATTTCTTTGAAAATACAGTTGTCCACAGACAATTTTCTAACAAAAGATAACCTACTATCACAAGTCAATATGCTGCTTAGATTAGCCATAATAACTTTTCCTTGACAAAGGTTGACTGAAATGTATTCGGAAGTTTTACCAGAGGATACCTGATACCTTACTTAAACCACAACATGTAACTTCTGAGTAGAAAATACCTACAAGCCTATTTCAAGAGAAACCTTGCTATTTTGTGAAAAAAGGTTTCATGCGAATGAGTACAAAAGCTTGTCACAACCTTAGTACATTCGACAAAATAATGTCGCCTTATCTAGGAAATTTGTGTGCTCCTTTTTAATTTTTTACTATCAGAGATAGCAGAGGATAAAAACAGGAACCCATATGCATAAAATAATGATCAGATGATAATTTTGCAAGAACGGAAAGAGTTTCCTGTCACCCGTTGAGCAATTTGTGTAAACATCAAATTCGTCGGGTCTTGCTTTTAAAAGGAGTCACGAAAACTCGAACAATATACGAATGCTCTGAGGAGCTAAAATCCACTTAAAACCAGATCGAATAAAAACATAGAGTAGAACTCAAGTTAAATATTGGACCAGGCTGCAAAATATACATACCGTATACATATTCATTGTGATCTGACAGTTAGAGAAATACACAAAAGGGTTTCCCTAATCAAAGAAATGTTAACAAAACTGACGTGGAAAGTGACAAAAACGAATTTTTAAGCGCATTTTATTAGGTCGGTTTTTCTTGATCTGACCGCTTTCACTAACCAAAAGAATAAAACAATCAATCGGCATATTTGTGTATTACACCACTTCGTTTATTACGGAAATCGAAGTGGCCCATTCTTTATCGCAGTATCGGTTGCTTGGCTATTCCTTGGCCTTGGCAATTCGTATTACTCCAGGGCATTTTGCCTAATGTTTAATTGAGCTGCAAATATATCTCAAAGACAACCGTCTATATTGCGCTTAGTGCAAAGATGTAAACAATTTTTCTGATTAAGCATACACATTAAGATTGAATATTTGCCATCGAAATGTCGGGTTCACAACCATAGGCACTAACGATCATGGACGAAATAGGAACTTCTGCCACTCGGATCTAAGTGTTCCTAGATTTGGCGACAAGTTTTCCGCAAATTTGGAGAAAAGCAATTATACTCATTGTTAGACAAAAATAGATACCCACCGCGGAGGAAAAGAATCTTCGTCTTCTCTATAAACAATAATAATTTTAGCTTATTGTTGTGTTTCAATTTAGCTGGAAAAAACACGTTTCTGCAAGAGTGGTCGTAAAAATTAAACGTCATTAATACTTCAAAATTTAATTCTCTACGCAAGGATGAAAACCCCTGCAAAGGTAAAGTTTACCATACTCTGAACTCCACAATGCGAAGATAAAATTCTGTTACATTTTTGAGGGAAAAGAGTCCTTTCTTTTTTATTCGACTTGTCACCGACCTGAATAAATGTTTTTGCCAAAGTGATCTAAAACCCAGTAATTTTAACCTTGAACTTGTAAAAAATAATTGACTTACCTCACAAAAGGCGAGTGCAGCTGGTGTTTACCTTTTTTCTTAGCCGAAACAGGCCTTGGAAAGGCAAGTTTGTCTGCAAAGTCACTCATAATCTTGCAAAAACTTATTCACAACAAACATGGCCGCCATTTTTAACGCTTATTCAAAACCATGACGTCACCGACGCTTGAGTCTGATTGGTCGAGTTCGGACTTTGCCGCGAAATCCAAAATGGCGCGTTGGAATATCATCTTGAAAAAGTTTTGTTTACATCCACGGGTGCGATTCGCCTCAAAGAGTGTGACCACAATTAGCCCCATTAAGTAAATAACCCTTAAAATACCAGAGCTCTTTTAGCAATCTACTTGATGTCTTATAACATCCATGTATTCCTTTTCAACCATCTTTTCTTGAACTTTTTCTTTCTTTCACGAAGAAATCGTAGCAAGAACAACGAAGAAACGCGTTCTCAACGTTTTGTAGTCTTAATATATGCAAAAATATACAAGAACTGTTTTTCTACATGGATATATTCACGGAGATTATAAAACTCCGGGATCTAAATACAAGTTAATAAATTAATGTTTGTTTTGAAAGTGTCCACGTAGATTTCATTTACAAACTTTAAAAGTTTAAAATACTTCACATCCCAAAGTTACATCTCTTCTAAAAAAAGATCGTCTTCGATAGAATTCAAATCAAGGTCGGAATTGTAATCTATAGGAAAGATTCCTTCGTCCTGAGCTTTGGGGTTTAAATTGTGTAATCCGTCATTCTGGAGGTCTGATAACTTGTTTTGTCCTTTGAGGTCTTCAATGATTTCGATCTCGGAATCCAGCTGTTTTGTTGGCGATGAAGTCGGGGTTATCATAACACTACTGACTGAAGCGTACAGAGGCGAGGAGGTGATTGGTTTCAGCGTGAAGTTCTCAGACTCAGCAAAGTAGCTTGTTAATTCCCTTGAACACTTTTTATTCTACAACAGAAATAAAAAACATACGAATTTGCATGAAGAATTATCTGGAAAAAGCGTTCACCGCGAACACGAGTCATTAAATTACCATGTATTTTGGTATCCGTAGTCCTTTTTTTCTGTTCTGGCAACGAAAATAGGACGTCTGCAAATGAAACAAAACATTCTGTTTAATTGCCGCTCTGAATTACTCACAAATCATTTCTTACGTAAATGAAAAAAAAAAAACAAAAAAACAACAACTAAGTTAGAAACCGTCTTTTGTAAAATATTCATAAAAATAAATTATTCAAAACTACTCAGTGATTATTTAGCTTCTCATCAGGACTAACGAATAACAATTTTTTTAGTCAAAGCGATTCTGAAATAAATTAATCTAAAATTGAGACCTCTTCCATTTTCTCCAAGTCTAAGGCAGGTCTGTGTGAGTCGAAATCGTCTTCAATTCTTCTTTTTACACCACTTTTCCTGCGATCGAAACAGGGTTGAGAACGGCTTCTGTGCAAACCTGACAGATTCGGTTTCCAGTTAAAGTTCAAGTCTCTATTCTCGTTAATCTTACTCCCAGTAGGATCAGATTTTGGACTTTCGTTTTTCATAAAAAGGTGTTTTTCCCCAAAGGTAGCATCTGCTGAAGCAGGTCTTGGTGTTGGCGAGGCAGGAGGTGTTGATATAGATTCCACTTCGTTGTTTATCCACAGCAGCTCGGCCAATTTAAATTTGTCGTCCGGGCATGATACCGATCGTGGTTTTTTCACGCAGTTTTCTACAGGTTGCCATACCGCGGAAGCTCGCGGAGCCCACAACGATTGTACCTCTGTACTCCCCGGCAGCGACAGAGAAGAACATAATTTCTTATTTGCGGGTGGCTGAGTGGTACTGTGCATAGCTGATGAATCGGTCACAGAGCAGTTATTGCAGTATGTTCGTCCGGGTCGATGAGAAGGATAACTTCGCGTCCTTGAATGACCAAATATCTGTCGTACATCTCTACGCAGACAGTGAGCGAGAGGACATTCTGAAAGCAAAGTGAAATATTACATCGTGAACCATGTGTTTTGTAGCAGCTCATTCGAACAAAAACAATGCGTTGATGATTACATGCAAGTTTTTATTCGGCGAAATTTCCTAGAAAAGTTTATACAACTGCAGAAAATTTCTCGCACCAATCAGTAGCGAAACATCTAAAATGCAATTTACCTGAAACGTGGTTATTCCGGGAAGAGATGGCTCGGAGCTGTAATGCATTTATCTGAAAGCAAAGCAGCGAAGAGTAAACATCATTGAAATTCGTGTCAACTCGCGATCGAATCAGAACGGAAAAGCTCCTACGACAGGTCTCTCGAATGAATATCAGTTAATTCAAATGTTACCTCGGGTTCATCGCTGGGGAGGTCCTCAAGCGATTGATTTTTTAGCTTGTCTGTTATGACAGTCACCATCGTGGTTTCCCCACATGAAGGCCACGATCTACAGTTCTCTTTGTATTGAATGACAGAATATAAATTTAATGAGTGACTGACGCGCGAGGCATTCACTCGAACTTGTCGACTGCCCTAAAAGAGAATTAAACCGGATATCAGCCGTCACAAATATAAATTCGATAAATTTAAAAGAACATGAATAAGATTTACCGTAGATAGGTCTTTCCCGATCGCTGCTAAACTAACCTTTCTGAGCACCGTGACATGTTGGGTTTAGTTTCGGATGTCGTAGTAGCAGTAGTAGTAAATTTCAATCGATTCTAGCATCTAACCAGCGGCACAGCGTAACTTCAGGGCCTGAAACAAACACATTTAAGATGTTATTCTCGTTCCTCTTTGATCTCTTTCCATGTTAAAATCAGTTTTTCTCGCAAAAAATCCCAAACCCCTTGGTAAAAGGAAAATTATCTTGCTTAGTACACGAACAAAATGAAATTACAAAGCGAAGCATTTCACTGCTACTAAGAAGGTACACATTTCGATCTATTAACGGAAAGGCCTTTTATGTACCTACGATTTGGCAATTTCTTTAGCTGACAGCTTGGTAAATTTGGCGACGAGTTCGATGCTTAGGTGAATCGAAGAAAGTCGGTTAGATATTCTTGTTGAGTGTACAAACCGGACCAGTTTGGAGGGCTTTTGTGGCCTCTAAATGCCGAATAGGGTCTGTCTGATTATAAATGTCACCTTGTAAAGAACAATCTCTGCAACCAATCAGAGCGCAGCTACAGGTTAATGACTGCCCCTGATTGGCTCGTATTTCCTGCTGACGTCCACTTCTTTGCCATCAATGAATTTACAGGCAAAGAAATATTTTATTACCAAATCAACCAACCAACTCGTGTCGCTACAACGCGGACTTTGTGAGAAATTACACTAATGAATTCAGTCTCACCTCACTCCAAACACAATGTCACTTTTGACACGATTGGCTTCCTATCCCTGCATTGTTGTGGAAGATAAACAAGTAAAAGAAATTTGCAACCCTTATTTATGTCCAGTCGAGCGCTTCCTCCCTTAAAAATGGAAACAGGATTATCGATGTGTGTATTATTTTTCATGTGCCAGTCGTTTATATCTCTTTCTAAACAGGAATGTTTCCTACGTAGTAGCGAATCGTACAGGCGAAGGTTACAAATCCCTCGCGGGTTTACGAAAATAGGATTCTTAATTTATTTTCCACCGAATTTTACTTTATTTCCTCTTGGTCTAAGTAAAATAGTAAAAACAAATTGAGGTCGTTGTAGTGGTAATGAATTATACATATTCCATCTATATACACAATTCTGATACGATATTCGATTATTCAAATAAGCTACAACCTATTTTTTTATCCTTCTGTAGAGTTTTTCTCGTTAATGTGATTCATAGTACCTATTGTTAGCAGAACACGCCCGGAGACACAACACAATTTTAGCATAACATATGAATATACTTAAAATTCACCTGGAAAACACAGTGTGAAAAGGCGGCAAGTGAAACCAATATCTTTAGCTGGCTGAATTAGATTTGTATGCCTTTTTCAGTTCAGTCTTGTCAATATGTTTGATTTGTTTGCCTCATGACGCAACATCTTTTGTTGCAATTCCGGAAAAAAATCCTTGAGTACTTAAGTAAATCTTACTGCCGAGCTGTTCTAAAAGAAAACATTTTAATACTGAAATTTGGTGGGTCAACATTGCACAGCAAAAGCATTATACCACCGAACCAAAACAGCCCAGGGGGAATGTGGAGGTCGCAATACATCGCTTCACTAATCATAGTAAATATCATCATCAATCGGCGAAGATCAACTCAGGCCCCGTGAGCTTAAAGGCATGACACTTTAAAAGGAAAAGCTTAACAGTTAATTTATTCACATGTCCAGGTTTGTTGCCGTGCAATTGCAAGGAGTTTGAATTGCTAAGCAGTTCAGTAAATAACTTAGTAAATTAAGCATATCTGGGTTTTTCATCACTGTCTCCAGTAGTGGATATTTTCCAAACAACCTCATCACAGGCACGAAATGACAACAGCTTTACAAACTGCTTACTTTTTAGTTCATTTGCACTTAAGTGAGAGTTTTCTTTGGTAAATAGCATTTCTAGCAGAGATGAAAGAGAGTGATCTCTGTTAAATGGAGAAAATAAAGCTGATTAAGGGAAACATCGCATGCATGGCAGTGAATACATACGGTGGGGAACTGAGTTTAAAAACTTCCTCCCTGTGAAAAGAAACCAATTAGAGAAAAACATTTTTGCATGAAATGAGGTTCTATGATGAGAAAAAATACAACTTCATTGTCTCTGTTCAAATGTATACCAATGTTAGGTCGAATATTTGTAAAAGCACGGCAAAAAACAGCGGAAGCCACCATCAGGGTGTAATCTTGCACGCTAATTCACACTGAAAAATTGTCTTATTTCAAAGGGATTTCAGATAGAACTCCGTTGGTGATTCGAAACGCGCGCACTTTTTATATCTTTACAGGATACTTAACTCCAGCACCTGCCTTGGATATCACCGAGTGACAGCGACTAAACAAGCTTTATTCTTTCACCTTTTCAGCGCGTCCTAGAACGTTTACAAATCTTGCCTAAATCCCGTTGTAAAAACATTTCGAAACTCGTTCATCATAGGTTCAGTCATCTGAAAAATGTAAGTTTCCATCTTAAGATACATTTGATGTTAGTTTTGAATGAAGCTATTCCGTAGATCCAAAAGGGAAACACTTCTGCCACCAGAATATGGCAGGGAAAGTTTTGAAACCAATGTTAGTAATGAGTACAATCGCAGGCCTATCGTTCACCTTGTATTCCTAGGCTGCAAAGGCAAATTTTCTGAAATACAAAATGAAGTGTCTTAAACTCGCCCATTCACGCTATGAGTCTATGCTCTGTGTGTAGTAAGATAGTATCTTCTTCACTCCGGACTGACTCAAAGATTCTTATCTCCATTTAAATATATAGTTATCACATAAATGCTCAAATCGTGAAATGGAAAGTGAATAATATTATAAATAATTCCACCTAGCTGGGAGCTTAGAGTGCCTCATTCTGCATCCCTGTTAACGGTAAATACTCTAAAATTAAACCAGATTTAAACCGGCCTGCTTTTCTCTGACCTGCTCATAACGGCTTAAGAAAAATAATACGACCAGATATCTAAGAAATGTTGAAATACTTTCCTCGGGGAAATGGAATATAGATATTGTTTTTCTCGTCCTTTAAGTCAACCGGCTCGAATCTTTTCCGTGTTCGAAGCCTTTTCTTCTTCATGTGATTTAAAACTTTACAGTTACCTTCTCCAGACAAATCTACACATTGCCAACCGCAATCTTTTCGGAAAACAGCATTCTTGTATCGGAGATCAATACAGTCGCCGAATACTATAAAGATCTTAAAAGCCGGCTTCGTTTCCAAATTTGGTCGCACACCATTAACATTTCATGCTGTCTCGAGAAGAACACTTCAGCTCACCTTGAATGTAGATTAATAATATGCAAACCCATATCATGATTTGTACTTTTTTTTCTCTTTGAGGCTAATGTTGAAATAAATTATTTGAAAAAACGCGATCAAAACCTCCCAACGAATTTGTCGTGTTCTCAAGTGTTATCACGTTTATTTTCACACAATATCACGCTTATTTGAGTTACTAGCACATGGTCAATTCTCATGCTAGAAGCTACTTCATTTACATGAAATGTTCAGTACCGTATTCTGCCTAAGGACTGAGTTGAAACGGATAACGAAGAATGAAGCTGAATGATTTGAAAATAAGACTTGAGTCTGTCCTTCGATAAATTGCATCCTTTCGTTATTTGCTAATATGGAAATCATTTAATGAAAATATTGTTCACCTTATAAACTAAACTAATTTCGATGAGGAATAAAAATACAACAATTACTTCAATAAATACCGTGACTGGAAATCTCCAGATCATATTAAAGCAATTTTTTTTTCTAAATCGCAAATTCAATCAGACACTTACCGAACCTTTACGACAAAACTGACCGATCACTCGGCAACTTCAAGTAACGTCAACTGGGCGAGAGAGAAATCCAAGCCGGCTATCTGTCTCAACTGATAACCAATTTACCCGTTTACTCCGCCTTTAATTTCGGAAGAAGAAGACTCACAAAGGTGACAATTCGTGACAAGCTTAAGTTCATTCATAAAGATATTTTCCCACCCGCGAGAGACGTCAATTTGTTGCCAGCTTGTCAAAGGAGAATTTTAACTTAGTTAAAACTCCTTAAAGGATGTTCTTTAAAATAAATTAATTTTGCTTCCAGATATAATAAAAAGCTCTCTGTAACATTTTATTAGTGTTGTGCCAATAATTTTAAGCTAAATTTCACAATGTGCGTTTCCTTTTGTGTTTCAATGTGTGTTCAAATCCCATCGATCTATGATTGGTTTGTCCGCGACGCGTGCGGAGAGAATTTCCATTCAGTAAGCGGTGTGAAGTGTGATAAGAGATTCAACAATTTCGTATCGATTCTCCGCGAACGAATTTTCATTTGCACATTTCATTGCCTTCATGCATGAGTGGGAAATATAATATGTGGTTAAAGAGTTTGATTTCCATATCTAAAAACGCGATGGTTTTTACAAAGAGAATATATTTTTGAAGTGGTTTTAAATAAAGATAATTTATGGAACAAAAGAAGTTGATTCCCAGCCTCACGAAATACACTTTTATCCAACAAATTAATGATGAAATTGCTACAACTCAGTAACATTTTTCCTGGATATTCTGCATTGTTTTGTGTTTCAAGTTGTTTTACATTTTACACTGAGTGATATCAATTTAGCTGATGTTTGAACATTATACGATTAACTAAAGAAGCCACTCGCCGTTAATTACGTAAATAGCGCTCTTGGGTCACGAACGACTCTGTATCTTGCATTTTATCTTTATTATCAGGCTGAAAAGTTTGGTTTGATATCTTGTAATGCTCTCTAATCAGAAGGGGTTTTAAGTTTGGTTTCAGAGGTCACGAAACTTTTACTGTTCCTGTACTCGAAGTTTTAGTTGCTTGAAGAAGGATACCATGAAATATCGTGATAAAATAAGGTCAACTTCTACAACTTAAAGTGAGCTAATAATTGATTTCAATTCAACAAGCTTCAAAAACACGAAGAATATCAACCTTTTAGGCTACATATATAACGACTTGAATTAATCCATAACCCAAGCAAAATGATAATTACTTTGCTCCTACCCTAAAAGCTTATTCAAAATTACACAGAGTCATACTTCAGGTGCACGTTCTATAGG